AGCAGCAACAGCAGTTTTCCTTGAACAAGCGTCTCAACTTTTTCCATTATTGTTTCACTGCAAAAACAATCGGACTTAATGGAAATTAGTGATCATATTCAGTATGGCTCCCTAGCGAAAGTCAGACTCTTCTCACTCGTTATTTTAATCAGGCGCTCCTTCTCCTACTCAAAAATTCTGAAGGGCCTGCAGTGAGTGCTGCGTTGAAGTGGCATCGGTATAATCGGGAAAAACACATTTCCGACTGGAAACTACTAGTCAACGAGGTCAAAACTTTGGTAGTTGCTGACTCGATGTTACACATAAAAAGGTACCCAAATATGAACATAAAAAGGTCACAACAAGTCCAACTTCTTGTTTCAACACATATCATTTGAAATATCAGATATCAATTAGTTGATAATTCCCATTGTTGGAGCTTAATGGATATATTCAGAAATATATTCCCTGAAGAAGTTTCTAAAGCTATGATGTGTTTCTTTTTGTATCTGTTATCTCCGTTTATTTGTTTTTCTAGGATAATGTTATAATAAACTCAATGAATCACAAACTTAATTAGCATGCAAACCAAATGAAAAAATGGTATGGTAGACATAAATGAGAATGATAAAGAACTGTAAAGGTTGCGGGTACATCTGTGCAGCTGTAAGAAAAGCACATACACTATATTAAAATGAAAATACTACAATACAAAATATATACAACAATAATATGCTAAGTGGCGCTTTGGCCCAGAGGCAATGTCTCTGTCATTGGTGTGGAACCCCAGGGTTCACCTCCTGGGCAAGTTCGAATCCCGGTTAGGGCGGTTGGTATCTTCCAGTGGACTCACCACCCACAGGAAGGTTTGGGGGGTTGGTACGGTGCAGTGTATTTTGGGTGGCGACTGCTACCCCCGCGACCCGGTAACGGATAAGCGGATGAAAATGGATGGATAATATGCTAAATTTAGCCCCTTGTATGTGTCAACATACACTATATATAAACCACATACCAGTGAACGCAGCACCGATGACGTACACAGGAAAGTACACTCTGACTGGCTTTCACTCTAAGCCTCGCCTTCCCAACGCAGCAACTGGAGCCCGGAGCTTTTGCAACGCAGTGGAGTGTGAAGAGTGTCGGAAGCTACAATGATAAATTTTAAGGTAAACCCGCTCAACTATTTTAAAAAACAACATTTTGAATCTACTTAGCTGTTTGATAGAGACATTTGAATAACACTAGGCGGTTTCTCCTTTGTTATTTAAATATCCCTCGGATAACATAAGGTTGGTTACTACAGTAGTACAGATTAGCAGTCGCCCTACCAGGAGTGAAAAAGCCTAGTTCTTATGTCGTTTGAATGTTATTGGTTTCTTTTTTTTACATTTTAGTTTTACATTTTACATTTATATTTCTACTCCCTTTTGTGGAACTTTGTTTACTTCGCTGGCGAAGTACAGCTGTCGATTGTATATTTTTAAATATCCCTACATTCGTTCCTCACGAAAACACCTCCTCCTGTTACTGACACCAAGTTAAAACTTGGATTGTCACAGCTGACGTCCTGGTGGGCGGTGGAAAGGGAGTATCTCTTGCTTTGTACAAATGAATGAACCCTAAAACCGAAAACACATCAATGATGACATGTGGCCTACACTTCTTCGTTAAGGACAGTTGCTAAAAGCCACATAGGTCATTTCTATTGCGGTCCCGAGAGTGCATGTACAGAAGTTAGTGTGTGCCAACCTGGTACGTTACTTTTCTTTCAAGTATTTTTTGAGAATATGAACCACTTATTATAGTAGTGTGTAACACTTAGAGAACCCTGTATCAATATGTATTATTATCAGGAGTGACTTTGCATTCCAGACAGGTACAGACAGGACAGGAGGTAGAAAGCCTGATGTCAAAATACTTTTTTAAATATGCAGCATATTGGAAAATATGTGATGCTTAAAAAAACAAAAAACATTTGCTCGGGCCAAGTTGTTTTGTATACCTTTTTTTTACAATATGGTTGAAATGCCAAAGCAGTTGGCAGTTACATCAAGAGACACTAGACTGTCACGTACCTGCTTCAAATAAGATGTCCTGCATGAAAACTCACCCAGACTGGGTCAATGATCTGTGCATTTGCGTCTGGACCTTTTTTTAAAAATCAGATTTAGTATGCCAAAATGTAGGAATATTTTTAAACAACCATATTTAGAGCTGCAGTGGTTGTCAGGGTTGTGGTCCAAGTATTTGCTACTCTGGAGTCTCTGAGTACCAGCTTTGACAAATAGGTAAATGTTCTAATCAATGTCATAATCTGAGCCCTTCTGACCTCCCCGCTTCTGTGTTGTGACAGAAAAAAGCAGGTGATTATAATAATACCACCCCTACACTGGCCAGCTGAGACCACACCATTCCTAGCTGTGGTATGGTCCGCCATTTGCTTTAGCTAAGAACAGCTGCCAGACCTATCATGTACAACCCAGGAGCTAAGCACAACGGCTAAATGAACACACGCTATGTTATGGAAACACTTGAGGCACGGACAGTTAGTAGGACTGGGCGTTATGGACTAAAAGTCATATCTAGATGATTTTAGCTCAGTGCCCACAATTGATATATATATACAGTATTTCTGCATTTTGCTGTTGGTCATCTGACACATATGATGATTTATTACAATTTCTTTAAAACAAACAGTCAATATATTAAACAACAAAATAATACAAAATATGAACTGGTAAGAGTTCCTTCTTTACAGAAACACTGTAGAACACTGTCTGTGGAAGAAGTTCTTCCCACGTTCTGTTTGAACACCTGAATGTCACTTAAAGCTTGCCTCTCAATTTAAGAGCAGGTCATAACTAAACGTTTTAGGTCCACAGCGCCACCTACTGTGTGTAGTCGCATGATGGGATCATTGACTTTTTTAATGTACAGGTGCAAAGAAACAAGTAATTTCATTCATAAGAACCATGTGAAGTTCCCTTAACCCAGTGCTTCTCAAATAGTGGGGCGGGCCCCCCTGGGAGGGCACACTGCACGCTGGACATAAGTGTACTGCTGCTGTAATGCTTGAATGATAACAAGCCTTCAGTCACTAGGTGGCAGCAACTCATACAGTGGTTTGTACAGATAAAAATATACACGTTATCAGGTTCTCAATAGTATTTCAATTCACTGGGGAAGGGGTGAGGGGGCGTGAAAACATTTCTGTTCCCGGGTCGGGGGCTTGACAGAATAATTCAGAACCACTGCCTTAACCCTATCTGTGAAATGTCTCTGAACATACCTTCTCTGCCCTTAGGCTTTAGACCAAGTTCCTCTTCTCTTCTACATCCTGGCACTGAAGACATTAGTGCTCTGTCTTGGGTTCGCTGGGGTGAAGATCTACCAAAGAAGGAAGGTAGAGAATGATCTGAAGATGGAGCAGGCTGAAAAGAAGAAACTGGCCCAGCAGACACTGATTGACTCCTTGAAAAAAGAAGAGTAGAGAGAACGCAGGTAAGGCAGTAACTAGTCAACAGAGCCGTTAGGGCTGCCAGGATCAAGACTGTGAGCTAGAAATACCACAGTCATCAATTTATTACATGAATGAATCTCTCCTAGTAAAAAAAAGTGTCTGAGTGAGTAAGGTTTATTGTTATAGCGCCTTCCCCAGGCTAAAAACCGCAAAACATGTAAGAATACATAAAACCAAAAAAATATAAAATATAGGCTGCAAAGCTCCAACATAAAATAAATGGATTAAAAGACGAGTGAAATTAAATGGTTTTAGGCTCCCCACCCCCAGGTTTTACCATGGGTCCCAGGGATCACCGACAGATTCTGACCTGCTAAAATCATGAAAAGATACGGCATCAATCCTTAATAATATATATATATATATTTCATATAATGTAATGTGTGTTTTGTGGCTCTAAAAAATGGAGAAGTTACGGATCACAGAGAAGCCTCTCATTAACTGTGTTTTCTCTTCTCTTAAGAAAGCATGGACTGATCAGATAATCCTGCTGAGTTAGTAGACGATGCTGAAGAAGGACATTTCTGTGCTCCAGGAAGTGTTGATGTTTTTACTGCCCTCTGGACATGAACTACGGCTAAAGGAAGAGCAGCTTCATTTATTTTACCATTATTTATCAATAACTCAGCCAGAGGTGTGGCTGTGCTGTAACTATTGTGCCTAATACTGTACATTAAAGATTACACTGTTTACAAAACAATCCTAGACCTCCTGTACATTCAGTCTAACTGACAGAGAGCCTAACCCTACCTGGCACTGTAGAGGGCAGTGGTGTCCTAGTGGTTAAGGAACCTTCCGGTGGGTCTGGGAGGCTTCAGGTTCGAGTCCACCAGCTGCCAAGTTGCCACTGAGGTGCTCTGAACATGGCACCGTCCCCAGCAGAGGTCACGTTTGATGGTGTGCTGTGTAACAATGACAAATAATTCACTCCACTAACTAACTAACTTAACTCTTCTGTTCTGCCCTTTAGCCAGTTTGGTTTAGGCAACTACAGTGGCAACCTCACATATTTACCTGTGCCATGAAAAAAAACAGCAGCGCTCAAGTCTTCTCAGGGTCGGTGTTTCAGACATTACAGTGACATTATGCCAGGAGGCCCAGCTAACTTTTCAGCAGACAACACAGGTCATTTGGTTCCCTAAAAAACATCTTAGAAAATGTAACATTTATCCTTTACAAAGTGTTAAAAACAAAACAAAGGTGAAAGTAGCCAGGGGAAGCTATTGAATTGTTTATTTTGAAAAGGGTTTTGCTATTTGACCTTGTTAAACACAATGACCTTAATTACAGATTTATTTTTAACTTTTGAAAAATAAGAATGCTATTCTATGCATGCACTTTCTCATTAAGTTGCTAAGATTTTTTTTTCTACCACAGGAAATAAACTAAAAAATAAATAAATAAAATAACAAAAAATATCTTCAATGTCCAGATTAAGATGTTTTAAAAAACGGAGGAAGCCACAGCATGAAACGATGTACACAGTCTGCAGTTGCATAGAACAGTACATGGAGTCCCTTATCTTTAAAACAGCATGCTGATTATATTGCACATTACTGGAACTTTGTATAGTACAGTAGACACTGCTGTTGATCCAAGTGTCTACTTTGTGACCCCACTCCAGGAAATATACACAACAGATAACAACTCTTAAATACAGTATGTACAGTTATCATTTTACAAAAATAATTACCAGAAAAAGTTAATTCCTCTAGTACTCATCCATTGAAATAAAAGTTATTTTACTCATTTTGTTTTATCCCACATTTTAATCAAGAAAATCATAATTGGTTTTTGTGGTTATATTGATTGATTTAGTGTAGAAAAACAATCTAACTGAAAGATTTAATTTGTTTTAAAATGGGAAATGTAACAGGTTAGAGTGGGAAGTCTGGGAGAGTGTGTAGGGACCGCTCCTGCAGTTCTCTACGTAGGGATTTGGCAAAGTTTAACACTGGCACATCCCAAGGCGGCATTAGTGGGAGCCATGTTTAACATTTTTGTGTTATTATGTGAGACCTATGCCTGTAAACAGAAGCATTTTGCATTTTTAAGTTAACAAGGCTTTAGGTCAGGGGCACTCAACAGGTGGACCTGGGTCCCGATACAGACCCAAAAGTTCACAATAATAAGTTACGGAAGGACCAGCTGTGTAACTGAAGCAGGTTTGTTAATTAACATCATCAATTATTCCACAAGTTATGACCCAAGGACATCCCACACATTGATCACTTTCTACTGAAATTGTGATTTTGGCTCCTGTGAAAAAAGCTATGTATATATAGATCGATATATATATAGGATTTATATATGGATGTTCGCCACCGCCATCCTCCCCAGGAGAAAACTGAGAGAGCAAAATATTGAGAGTCCCTTCCCCAGGTGAAATGTTTTGTTGGGATTCCCCAAAGTTCCATCTACACTCTGTGTACAGTGTGATATACATTGTGGGATTTGCCCTTTTTTTTTAAACTTTTGCTTTTGAAGTGGTACGATTATCGATGCTTTGCCAGCAGTAGGAGCTTACATTGATCTGCTGAGATTCTTGATTCAGCTTGGTCCTTATTGTTTAAATTTAAAAAGAAACTCATTCTTTAACCGCCTGGTTTACATGATACCTAAAATAGTTTGTCTGTCGGATATGTTTTACTTTCCCTGTTGTACTGATTTATTTTTCAAAAGATTCCAGATTTAGTCTGATGTTTGATTAAATTGAGCTGCTTATTAAAGTGACAAAGTATTTTGGAGCGATGATCACCTGTTGTGTTGCTCCCAGACTTTTGTTAGGCATGTAAGTGTCGTTTTATCTACAATAATATTATCTACTGCTACAAAAAGTAAAAATAATAAAGGGAAATATTTAAATGTAAATAATGTTCAGTAAATGTTTATAATGCACCACAGCTGTGAAAGTGACTAACACTTTCTCTGAAAAAAAAAACCCCAAAACAAACATCTGTTGGTGTCTTTGCTTAACAGCAACAAAACAAATGTGAAGGAAACATTACTCTAAACACTTGTACATTTGATCGTTAAAACACCATACACATAAAATACCTCAACATGTTAAAACTCTATGTTTTTTTATCTAACTTTCAATGGGGTTTTTTTTCATCGTTTTTAAAAATGAACGTCATGTTTTTTGTAGATTGTGTATGGAGTGACCCCAGTTATCTGAAAGCAACACAGATAAATTAAATATCCCCATATTTAGTATCATTATTTCATATTAACATTAAGCCTGGCTCTCTGTTTCCACATGAAGAAATCATTTCAGTGATTTGGCCTTTGTTTCAGTCATGCATTCTACTCACACATTTCTGAATGATTGCTCAAGCATTGACTAGTGTTGGCTCCTGAGGCAGAGCAGTAATGGAGAAAATGGAAGTTTTACTAGATGACTGCTAACTACGGTTGAAAATGTGAGTTTTCGAGGTTTGTCCCACCATCATTGGCCACATTAATGTTTCATTTAATTTGATAGTGTACTGCTGTCACAGTAAAGTACAAACTGGTCTAGGTCTCGGCTTAATTGTGTGATTTTTTTTAAAATTTGTTTCACCCGTTTGAGTTGTGCCGCAGCAGTTGTCAAGCGCAACTCGACTCATGTTATGGGTTTTTTTTTCTTTTGAAGAGGTGAACTATTTGTTGTTTTTTTAAAATATTTTATAAAGCGAGGTGCATCCATAGGGAGTACATGTATCACCATCAACCTTAAGAGAATAGTAAAGAAAATCCTGCATCCGTATCAGTATCAGTGGATACTTCAGGTTCAGAAATCAAACTCAGAATCATGGTATTGAGCCATCACTTATACTTATAAACCTTTGCACATAAAATGCTCTGCAGTCAAAGCAGCATGCCACCTACACAGAAGGAAAATAACCAATTCCACCATGTCTAGTTTTCATCTTAAACTGCAAATCCAATCACGTTGCTCACGATCATTTATATATTTTCTTCTTGCATTGTCTTGTCTCACATTTCACCTCCATCTTTAAACTGTTTAACTTAAACAGATCAATCTTTTTTTATATATATATTTGTACTATATACACTGACAAATGTATTAAAACATGTAATGGTTCTTGGTGAAGATCTATAACTTCTGACTAAGTGGTAGAACACTCCAGCTGTAACGTCTGTGGGCCTACTCTCTGACTGGACAGATAGATGACCGATAGATAGATAGATAGATAGATAGATAGGTCTGAAGGCGACAGTTCTGAATGTGGAGTTCACCTGAACCATAAATGCCATTCATACCTTGGCAAAAGCCAAACTGACATCCTGAAACAGGATTAACTCTGAACTTGCACTCTTTGAGTGTCTTCCCAAAGTGAAACAATCAAACTTTTGTGATTGTTGCAGACAAAAAGTATGAATCTGAGGGTTGTTTCCTAAAATGATTTGTTACAATAAAGTGTCAACTTAAAGTGCAGAAAACTTATACATCTTTTATCATAGTTTTAATGCTTCTTCTTGTGAGTAGTTTTAATGAATAAAGTGCATATGAAGGATGAGCTGACTAAGCTAGTCCTATTTACATTTCATTTTGCATTTTCAAACTATAAACTAGTCTCTCTCTCTCTCTTTTTCTCTCTCACACACATATACACATGCTTCCTTTCAAAAAGTTATGAACTCACATGCGGCATAGTGAGGACTTGCAATCTAAGTTATTAAAAAAATTAAACAAAACCTTGCAATAGTTTGGGATGCTACAGTCTCTGTGACAGTTATTTGTCGTTACACTTGCATTTGGTTTTCTGATCAGGTGTGTTAAGGAGAGGCTAAATGCTTGAAGCAAAGATTTCCCTCGGTGTTCAATGATGACATTGCACATGGTGCAAAACCTTTTTTTTTTTTCATGGAGAACTGAATTGCACAGTCTGGGACTGTAATTTTGCTCAGTAAATACGGGCCTCTTTAAACATCCATTGTCAGAACATGACTAGTGAGTGAAGCAACACAAAGTAAATTACTCAGCAGTGAAACAGGAAGTGACATATTGAGGGTGAGCGCCTAGAATTCATTAGTTAGTTAGTTAGTTAGTTAGCGGTATCGCCTGAACAGATCCTGGATGGACTGAACAATAATACACAGAGCTCGCGTCTCTTAGAGTAATACTCAACAGTAAAATGGATTTAAAAATTTAGTTTAAATAAAAATTAAGGAATATGTTTTTCACTACCCAGATACAGTCTCTAGGCTCCGCCTGTACCTGCCAACCCAGGGCTTCCTGAGTCCTGTGAATTTTTAATTCATGTAATCGACTTAGTTAATTTGAAGGGGTTTCTTTACAGCTCCTGCAGTGATAAAAGTTTGACATCAAAAGATAATTAAAGTCAGTTAATAAATTCAACTAATTCCAACCAAACAAGTACAATTTTGGGACTGTTGTTGCTCTACTGCAGCCATTGTTTGGAACAGAATGTGGGCCGCAGTGGTGAAAGAGTCCAGCACTAATTTCCTCTGGATTAGTGCTGGACTCAAAGTCGATGACAAGAGTTGTTGCGATGTGGTTTGTATGAATCCTGGTAGGGGTCCTGGTATTCCTGGTAACGGTCCTGCTGCTCGTGACTATGATGTGAGCTCGATGACATGCGGTTGATTCCCTTGTGTGTCTGCTCATTGTGATAGTTTTCGGCTGCAGTCATCAAGTTGCGTCGCACATTTGGGTTTGAATGATCTCCCATGTGGTTACTCTGGCCCATCCTTTGGCTCTGAAAATCACGCCATCATCAACAGACTTAGAAAAGGAGTCGACAACACCAGAGAGACACGCTTAATATCAGTTCAGTATGTGACTGATGTTGAATTCAATTGAATTCAAAACCAATAATGAATACTGCACACTGTTTAAGCACCCTTCTTTGAAAGAACCAAAGACAATGGTGTGCTACCCAGAGGAATTCAAGTATAATAACAATAATAACTCAAGGTCAGCCATTTTGGCATTCAAAGCGTGACAACTACTGAGTATCAGTTCATGTGTGCCATTTCGTTCCTTTTTACTGTGACAGGTGGCAAAGAACATTTGCAAATTGTGATAGAATGAAGGTAATGTTCCTTTCTTGTTCGTTCTTTGTCAGATAAATCAATTTTAAGTCCTGCAGGAAAGATGCAAAAAACAATATGTATAAAGAACAACTTAAGAACAAAATCCTTCTGACTTTGATTTTTAAGGCTGCTAGAAGGACATCAGAGTTTTGAAGCCAACTGTGCTGTGAATTGTTGTCAACAATGTCAAATTACACTACAGTACACACTGCACCGTTGAAGCAGTTGAGTCTAAAAGGCTGTTGAGATAAAATAAAAAATAAAAAACTTAATCAAAATTTGTTCTTGGTCCTGATTTTTACCTGCAGTCCAGAAATGCTGGTAGGGTACGAGGTGAGAGTGGTGGGTCCAAGGCTGTGTCCTAGCAGGGGGTTTAGAGGCGTAACCATCAAAGTATGTGTTGCCTTCCAATAGGCCTCCAAGTATTCAGCGAGATGTTCGCAGGCGTCCTCCAACTGGTTCTCATCCAGGATGATGTCAAACATTTCCTGTGAGCACAAGACAGTGGGGAAATGATGAAAAGGCAGCAACAACTGGGTAGGAAAAATTTAGGAAAAATTTGTGCACCAGGTCAACAACACACCTGAGGACACTGGGCTAATTTGTCTGCCGCAACCAGCTGTACATTCAGATGTTTGCTTTGGGACTTTCCTCTGGACTTGACTAGCCTCTGTAAAACCTGGAAGTTAGGATAAAAAAATAATTAAAACTTAATTACTGCAGTTTTCTGGGCTCCATATTCATCACATAACAAGGATAAATATGTGTTGATATGTGATATTTCAATTGCGTACAACATGTTTTAAAATAGATAAAGTATATATATAAATAATAAAATACAACAAAAAGTTGTAACTGAAGCACTGTCACAGTGTTTCAACCAACAAATTCAGACAGCAGAACTTGAATGGATTGTTTGGTTTCTCAACAGCACAGCAAAACAACTTCACTGTGGTCTTTTACAGATTGACTGAGGAAAGTGTTTCTGTCCATGTCTGTTTGGAGTGGGAATGAGGCGGAGCTGCAGTTTAACTAAGAACTATTTAGAAAGAAAAACAAAATGTACTAAATAATAAAAATAATAATAAAATAATAAAAATACAGCAAAATGGTAAGGGCATAAAAATGGAACAATCATAAGTGCGGTATTATAAGCTACAATTAAAAGAAAAATAATATGCCGGAACTATAGTTAAGCGCAGCTCTAACGGAACAAAAACAAAGTTACACAAGACCCGAGCGTTGCCGCCTGTGTTGCTTTGTTTTCGGTCCCTGGAAGTTTCAGAAGAGAGGCGTGGCCATGTGGGGCGGAATGGCAGAAGAGGAATTATTCCCTCGAACAAGTGCATTAATTCAGACGTGTGGAATTATTTTGGCTGCAGAAAAAAATGACCAGGGTGTTTGACAGCATTTAAAGCGTGCAAAAAAAAAAAAATGCGATGAATGGAAGAGATATATTCAACATGTTTCATCACCTGCGGGGCAACCACCAGATTTACCCACCAAAATAAAAGGTAAATACACAATAACTAGATTAAGTCACGGTAATGTTGGTTGGACATTAATTGTTAGCGTGTCATTAGCAATTAATTGTACGAGTTACGCGGCATTCACCTAACACCGTACTTTGTTACATTGTACTGTTGTAAACATAGCGTGAGGCTAAGTAGTCTGTTGTCGAAGTCCTCAGTCAGTGAACATTTAGCATTAGCTCCTTTAGCTTTCTCCCATCAGTGAGTAAACGTTGGACCTGTGCTTCCTGCACTATCACTCATTATAGATACGTTTTACTGTATATGTAGCCACACAATTAGACTAACAATAAACGATTAAAATAAACGGAGATATCTGGTTTCTATCACAGTTAATGACTTCATAATTTAAACAATTCCCCGGGGGATTAAAGATTGGTACTATATAGATATATAATTAAATATAGAAATACAAATATTGTGTCCTATAATTACTAAGGCAATTATATTTTGTGCAATTGAATTTTCCAGTAGCCCTTCATATATGTTTTCTCTGAGAGAAATACATGGTACATATGAACCATTCTTTTGTATTATTGTTTACAGGGAAGTGGTGATTTTTAAAAATTACAATGGGATTATTGTCATTTTTCTTCTTCAAATTTCTCTATTTTACTTTTTTAGTTAATTGCCTATGTTACCATACATTTTGTTATGTTAGCATCAAAAGATAGAAATGAAGGAAACTAGAAGGAGTGTTCATGTCATTTCATACATGTATAGTCTTGTAAATGGTGATAATCATAATATCATGATAAACTCTCTGACAATAATAGTACCAACACAATCTATAATCATGTATCTATAATCTCTAAAATAGTTGTGACAGATAAATGAATTTAATTCATTAGTCCACACTGCAACCATGAGTAGTAACGAAGGTCTAAAGGCCAATTTTCTAGTTTATGGCAATGCTCAGCGTACCTTTGGTGAAGACACCTTTACATGGACAATAATGGGGGCCAGTGAGGTCTTCACAAGTTGGGCTGGATGGTTGATGGTGTCAGCGTCCAGCACCACTAACTGCAGTGAGCGGGCCAACTCGAAGATCCTCTCAATCTCGCTTTGCACCTCAGCTAATTAGGTCACATAAAACAAGACCAAACACATTGGTTAAGACAATCTATATATCATTTTAATTGCATTAAAGGGACACAGAGATGAAAAATAACTTGTATTTGAATGCATTTGTATGATAATTCTTAATTGCATTCATATGTAAAACAGGGAAAAGCATGCAGACTGACATGTTGTTGACAATGTTCGGTTAGGGTATTTCTGTGTATGGATGTGTTTGTACTGTGGTACATTTACTTACCTAAGCTGGAGCGAGTGTTGGATCTTTCAATGATGGCTCTTTTACTAGGGTTGTTGAGAACAGACCTCTTGGCTAATGATATATCTGCTGTGACATGTGTGATTGATATCCTATTGGGAAAAAGATTTTAATTAGCTAAATCTACATTTGAAATCATAAATAATAATGTTTTTACCACTCAGCACAGGCATTATTTTTGCACACTAAAATTGTTTCGTTCATTAATAGACATTACAGAGAACAAACCGTCCTACCTGCCGTCAAATCTGTGTTTGAGGAAGTCAAACAGCGCTTTCTGCATCATGTCCGTCACCTGCAGGGAGATAAATGTTTTATTTATCTTTTCTTGATGGTAAATAATTTCATATAAATATACAGAAAAATGTATGACTATCCTTAGCAGTAGCAGTAGCAGTAGGGATTGGCAACCAATAACAAAGTACTTTGCCTGAATCTGGCCAATATCAGACACATAATGAACTTTTATCTGGTTCAGTAATAGTACATGACAACCACAAGTTAAAAAAAAGCTATCGATGTCAATCCAAAAGGACTAATTTATTGTAACTTTGTTGTTGTTTTAAACTTTTCATTAACACAGGATGCCTTATTCGGCTACATGTACAAACCATTGCTGTGTTACTGTCGCTTCTACATAACAAAAATCAATTTTACATGTGCATCACAACAGAGTAGATGACAGTAAGATTGACTACTTAATAAATCCTAATATTAAGTTTATGTAAGGTCTGGAGAGAATACAAATCCAACTTATTTTCCTTCACCATTGAAATCTGTTTTGTGACCTGTTTATATATATATATATACATATATATATAAATTACAATACTACAATAACTTGTAGTACTTCTTGTTAGCATTAAGATGAGTATAACGGGGTATGCCATGTTCATAATTTAATGTCTAATTTGCATAAGATAAAATAAATGTTTCAGAATGTTTAGTATTACACACATTTCACATGACTAAAGAGATTTGGAACAGCAGCTTACCTCATAACCCTTGAGCGACGGTCCAACCAGAATAACAGGCCTCATAGAGGGGACCACATCATACGGGGGAATATGCTCAGTCTGTCCACACATTCAACAACATATTAAATATGTTTAAATAATTCTAAATAAGAAGAGTAAAATGAACCAATCATTAATTTAAAAAAGGATAACATTTTATAGGGGCGTTATGCAAAAGGTGGTGGATAAACGTTATTTTTATTTAGGCATCTAGGGCGTTATGCAAAAGGTGGTGGATAAATGTTATTTTTATTAAGGCATCTAGGAAATGTTGTAAAAACAAAATAAAACTGTTGTAAATTTATAAAAAATCTTTCTAGTTTCAAATTACAAATTTGGAGGAAAATAGAAATTGTCACTGCATATCAGAGTTTTTACACGATAATACTTATTTTGTAAATAGGGAAATACTTCCAACAGAAAATTACGGACATTTTGTGAGTTGTACAAAAACACAAATCAATCACATCAACACCAACAAATGTGTACATGCACATATAGAGGTAAAAACACACAGCACACACAGGTGACAGCAGCAGAGATAACAACTCTGATTAAAGTGTAATGAAATGCAATAAAAATGTAAGTAAAATATGAAATAATCCAGGGGAAACAGGAGAAATGAGGAATGGGATGTGAAGAAAACTAACAGCCAAGGACTACTCATTATTAAAGTCAAGATCCCGTCCTCCCTTATGGGTTTAGGTAGAAGATGAGCAAAGCTGTGGTTGTTAGCTCCTACTGTACATCACCACTGCAATGTGCAGTGGTGATGTAAAAATGGACTCTCAAAACTGCCACTAGTGGCATGTAAAAGTGTACGTCAGCGTAATTAGGATTAGGATGACACAAATACTTCACTTAGTTCTAGTGTTATTTGCTGGATAACAGTATGAGCTTCCCAGAAAAAGTTACACATTTCTGTACTATTTTCTAACACAGACAGCAGCACAAACAATACATAAACATTTTGCTATTAACCAACTTACCAGTTTCTGTTTCTGTTTTCCTGTAAAAGTGGGAAGACACAGTCATTTGTTTTGTCTAGAGCAGAGGTGTCAAACTCAAATTCACAGTGGGCCAAAATAAAAAACTGGGACGAAGTCAAGGACCAAACTTGATGACAAATGTGCATGTTTTCCAGATCTGTAATGTAGGATTTTTTCATATGGAAACTAACTTTAATTTTGCATAAACATTAAAACTGGAACAACCAAAGCTTAATATTATAAACACATGAGAAACTAAATTTGAAATAAAACACATCAGTAGTATTTGTTTCTCATTATATCTCTTTATCTGTAGCCTTTCCAGTTCTTTTTTAATGTAAATCTTTTTTTCACAGGCCAACAACATAAAAAACCCCTAAATGTATGCGCTATAATATACATAGCACATAGACCACTAATTTTAAATGAAATTCCGTTGTACCCCCGTTATGTAGTGACAATAAAGACTATTCTATTCTATTCTATTCTTCTATACTACAGATCCTGCCAGTATACAGGGGGCTATATACTGTCGGGCCAAATCTAGTACACATTTGATATGATCTTGCGGGCCAATTATAATTACACTTTGGGCCAGATTTGGCCCCCGGGCCTGAGTTTGACACGAGCCTTATCAGATTCACATACAACTATTAATCACAGTTATGAGGAAGTTAATCTAAGCAGAAATAAGCAGCAAATATTGAACGCTGAACATTTAATTATTTAAATGCAAACTTTTATCCTATTGTTATATTATATAACATTTTAATGTTATAGGTCACATATTTGCAGTTCTGAAGTGGAGCTCATAGTCTTGAGGATGAGTTCACAGTGCCTGCAGTCCTCAACTGGAGGATGAGGAGGATGATGGGACAATATACCGACATGTCTATACAGTGAGCTAATGCTAAATACAGACACAGAGTAGCGTTTTCATTGGCTCTATGCTACTGCAGTTTAGAAAGTGACTCAAGCCTAAACAAGCCGTTCCCCTTGTACCATGTTCCTACCTGATGGGGACATGAGAGGGTGGATAGAGGTTGAACCTCATCCTCTACAGTGGAAGAGGAATTCCCTTCAGACTTACTGAAAAAGACAAAAGAGGAAAAAGAGAAAACACACGGTGCTATTAATGAGGCACAAAGACGTTCTTCATCTTCAGAGGAAAAGTGTACAAAGAACACAAAACAAGAAGGAGCTCCTGTGTGTCCATATGGTATCCCCATCTGTCCCTCCAACTGCACCCCTCCAAACACCTCACTGTTGTCAAACATGTCCTGGACCACCCTCACATACACCTCCATTCCTGACCTTCTTACATACTGCCACAGTTCCACCACTTCCATCTTCAAAGCAAAAATTGTACTCACCTTTTTGGACATTAAATCCAATTTCTGCCCAATAATCTGAACCCCTCTCCAAAGCCTTGCTCCAATCACTCTTTTTCAATATCATTATCTGACAGCTTTCCACCACAGCAGTTTTCTTTTTAATAAACTGTATCAGTATACCCTGACACTCAAAATTATATTAAACAACCTGGGCAAAAAGTCTATTGCTTCTCATTGAAGTGTCTTCATAATATTCTAGTACAGTGGAACCCCTAGATACGCGCTCCCCAAGTTTACCCAGTTACAAGTTAGCAACCATTGCATTTTCTATTGCATTTTCCTCGTTACGAGCTACTTACGAGTGCTAAACCGAGGACTGGCATCCATTCAGTTGTACGGCATGAAGAAGCCACTCTGATGCCAAAAGGCTGCGGAGCTTAGTGTTTAATAAAATAAAATAAAAATATATATAATCCTTATCCTATGCTTAGTGGCCCCGACACTCTGTCGTGCTGTCTCGCTCACTGTCCCTCGCTTGGTCATGGAACGAATTGATTGGTTTGTAGTTATTTTTAATGGGGAAAATGCAATCGAGATATTTCGGGGTTACGTTGTAGCTGTAGTCCTGCTTTATTTTCTTATCTTTCATTATCTGAAGTTTGATAATGTTGTTTATTGTACATGACTTAAATAAGGGTACAAAAGTTTTTTTAGGAAACTCAGGCAAGATTGTCTCTTTAATGCAAATCTGAATTCATTAAAATAATAATAAAGACAATAGACAATATGCTTAATTGAGGTGTTAGTAACTCAACTACTATGCAGATTTTTCACTGTTTTTATAACCTGATCTGCATACTCAAAAAGCGTGTATTTATATCTTCTTTTGTCCATTCCATTTTTGCTGATATTACTTACCCTTGTACTCGTCCTCTCTTCTGCTCCTGCTGGAGTCGGATGTTCTCAAGCTTCAGAGGGCTGGGGATGAAGCCAATCTCACAGCCCTCTTTCACTAGTCGGCCTATCCACCAGTCATTGTTGAACTTCTGCACACAATTACATACAAAAGTACAAAAGTTAAATAAAAAAAAAGAAAATCATTGACTAATTGTAACTTATTTTAAATACCTCTTTTATGTGCAGGAAATCTTTGGCATCAAAAGAGATGGCAGTGGCAGGGACTGGAACATCCTCATCCAGGGCACCACAGTAGCTGACATTGGTCCTGACAGCAAATGCCACTGGTTTGGTCTAAAAGAATCAAACATCTGTACTATGTATATTTTCAGAGGAGCACATGTAGCTAATTTCAAAGTTCTACATATTTCTGTACCTTGGCTTTCTCTAGTTGAATGGAGGCCTGCTGCTCCCTCTCCTGGCGACTCTGTCCTGGTCCTTGGCTTTGGTTTGGGCTTTGGCTCTGAACCTGAGCCGGGAGTTCTCGCTCCTCCTCCAAAGAGACATCTGAGTCAGATGGTCGGCTAGTATATGAATCGGCGGAACCCTGCATTTAAAAAGTAAATTCAAAGATACCCTTAGTCAGGTTAGCAGATAGCCTACTTTACATTACTTTACAGTGGTCGATGTTAGCAAATAGCTCATATTTTGGATAAAACTTTTGGGGAAGATTTTTTGCCACTGAAATTTTTTTCTAGACTTCTTCATGTTCAAAGACAATTTATTTAGCTTAAACCATTTCATACAATCCATTAGACCAACATTTGTTTCTCTTCTCAATCAATTAGAATTTCTGTGGGAGAATGCCAGAGTTAGAATATTTGAGACAGTTGATAAATCATTGACATTGATGAGGAATAGCAAAGGCCCCAGGATAGGCCCTTGTGTAACTCCACAGAGTAGTCTGGCTTTGTTGGAATAGCAATTATCAATGCAAACAAATTGATGCCTATTGAAGAGATAACATGTTAACCATTGTATGTTATGTCTAAGAAGGTACTACAGGTACATTTCTGATACGCCGGTGCAAAGGTAACTTTATCAATAAGCTGAAGTAGAGCCACATAAGTGGAATGATTTTCCTTTAAGCCATACTGATGTTCCTTGGATCACACTAGTTGTTATCAGTCATAAAACATACACCTCTTCCATTGGTTGCTCAGTTGTCAATAGGCGTGACCAAAGTGAAAACAACATTCCATAAAAGGGTCAGGTTGTGGATATCTATTGTTTTATCACACTGGCTATATAACCTATACTTTATTGTTTTATCACACTGGCTATATAACATATACTTAAATATTATATAAAAAAACCATTTTTTAAATTTTTTAAATTTTAATTATAAAACATATTCCCTATTCCCTACTGCCTGTCTTTCAAAGAAAACAGTTCAAATTTTCATGTTTTGGTTTGCAATCTTTGGACACTTTGTTTTATTTGTCACTGTCTGCATTTATGATCCAATGACACCCTACAAACTCAATCAGGAGCTGTTGTTTACTTGGTTTAAGAGATTTACAAAGTGTAAGGTGAATCACTGAGGCAAACGCTGCAACGAAAGAAACAAAAAGCTAGCATATGCAGAATCAGGATGAAAAGACCAATACAACTGCCAAATAACGTATAGTTTCGCTTTTTCAATCCGGTCCTGACTGTATTGCCCTAATGACGAAGTCTGACCATTCTTTAACACCTTTGATCAGTTGAAGAAAAGGAAGGCATTTTTTTCTACATTGCGTCAGTGGAGATTTACTAGTACAACCCAGAAAGCAATATTCAGCCATATCAATGGCTACTAAGTGTAACAGCTGGGCCTGGGAAGGTTAAATAAGAGGTTATGGTTTTTAAAATGGTCTGAAACTGAAACCAATGAGCAATAGCTAATGAAGGAGTTTTGCAAAAACTGAATAATGTACAAAAAACACAGTAAATTCAATCAGGATTACACAGTTTCCTGACAGTAGACTACAGCCATGTACACATATACAAAAAGAGACAGAAATATAAGCATGAGAGTCAGACCGCAGAAGCCCCAAGCCCCATACACACACTCACCCAACCCCCTTTCATCTGAGCACAGCCTACCATCACGCCTCAGTGTGCTGTTAGACAACCCATTAAAAGGCCTCATTTGTGAGCCTGTGTGCACACCTACTCCCATCCATAAATACAAAGGGCTATTACAGAACAAAAACAGATTAGCAAAATCCACACATCCGGACACTCACCGGCTCCGAGTCTTCAAATCCATGCAGGTACAAATTGTCATACATGGAGGTTTAATATTCCAACAAGAGCCTCAAGAAAAATGTAAGGGGGGGATTAAAGAGTGAAGGGAGAGAAGAAGGGAGAGGGCACCACGCAGGAGAGAGAAGAATCGCTGATGAGAGTGAAGACAATCCTTTTGCTCTTTTGGAAGAAGGTACTAAATATAATAAATTAAAAAAACAAAAAGGCTCTTCCCTCCCATTTATTCACGTCTGCTCCTCCAGAGGCCCATCTATCAAAGGATGCTGCTTTTCCTCCGTCCTACACTGCTGCTGACTGGTTCACATTATAGAATGCTGAGCATTTGCTTCAAGGTAGCTCAGTCCTAGTATTTGCATGCACATGCACACACATACGGATACACACACACACACCCCCACACAGAAAAATACACAGTAAAAGAGGCAGCAGCTGCTGCAGCAAAGCAGTAGATCCTTCCTTAATTTCCGAGCCTGATGACAGAACCAATGTAGAAGCAGCTGATTGGCTATGTGGCTGTCCGTTCACCTCAGAAGAGCAGTCTCACTGATATTTTTAAAGTGAGAGACAGGAAGGATGTGTGGAAGAGGAAATAAGAGCTTCATCTTCCATTCCCCTATCATTTTTAATATCCATTATTATTATCTAATATTATTATCTAACTTTATTTTTTTATCTAACCCTATCCATTATATATTTTTGGAAACCTTTCCTCACTGGACCACTACTTAGAATAAGAGTATTTCTTAGGTAAACACTGCTGTCTTTTATATTCCGAGATAAGTTAACAATTTTTTTTTTTAACATTTCCTGTATAAAAACCAAAAATATACCAAACATTATGTACTGACAACATAAGAAGAGTAAATGTCTGGACAACAGCACTTTGTTTTATGTTACAGTTCACATATTCACTTCTGTACATTGTTTCTCCAAAAGCAATTGTTTGTTGGTCAACTCTTTTTACTGTATATAATTTAAGTATTTATTTATTACAAATGTTTTTTCTTTCATGTAAGAAGACTATGCAAACATTATTTGATCTTTATGGTAGTTTAGATAAAGCAGAGACAGCATCTTTCTGCATCATTTTCAGAAAAATAACATTGTTCATTTTGTGTCGTTGTTTAACTATTTTGTTTTTTTTTTTTAGTGCTAGGCATTTTAACGTGGTATTTATTCATTTCTTCATTAATGCCATCATTAACTGCTGACAGGATATATATATATATATATATATATATATATAGTCCTAATTGTTCACTGAAACACTAAAGCTATGTTAAGCCACATTCCTTGTATGTGCTTAAAGCTGATCCTGATTCTGATTTTTGTTGACCTGAGAAAACATATTGTGACTCTGCTTTGTCTTTACCTGTCTGAGGATGAAACTAGTGGAGGTGGTGCTGCCATCTGATCTTTTGAGGCGGCTCCTCCTTGAGTAGGTCCCTCGGTTGACCTGCAGGAGACACAACACGTTGAACAGGAAAATGCACAAAACTGTTTTCGATGAGGTAAACAAAGGGGTTTCCTCTGTTTTCATAAGCAGAAATATTGTTTATGCAAAACTATATTTACTTAGTAACATTTTTCCAGCAGCAGCTTGGTTCGCATTGCCACCAGTAAGTCAGACCAGTTCCCGGTGCATGTTGGACTACGGCAGGACTGTCCTTTATCAGCGGGTTCTGTTCATTACTTTTATGGATAGAATTTCTAGGTGCAGCCAGGGGCCGGTGGTGGGTTCAGGAGCCACAGGATTTCATCTCTGCTTTCAGCACCTCTAAGTCTGAGGCCAAAGTTCTCAACCAGAAAAGGTGGCTTGCACCCTCCACGTCGGGTGCATCCTCTATTCCATTATAGTGGAAATTTGGCTTCACTTGGTAAAACATTAAACCTCCTAGTTTAAGGAAGTCTAACTTATCCTTTAAGGTAGCTCCTCTCTCTTATTTAAAATGTTGTGGCAATCTGACTTGGATTAAAAAACCTGTTTACGCCTTATTAAAACTCTGCATCTCATCTGAACTTTTTGACCACTCATGGAGAATGGTTCATCGCAGTGTTTACTCAGTACAGCTGTGTCCCCAATCGTTTTGCTTTATGGATTGGTTGAGTAGAGTGAAAATAGAACTTACCAGAAGCAATGATTTGAGCTTGTTTTACTGCCAATGCATGTCTAGTCTATATGTTTTGGTGCAGAAAAGCCCACTTCAAGAAGACGAAAAGAAAAAATCTGAGTTTTAAATGTTTGTATTTCAGAGTAGTACGCTTGTTAACATTGACCACCAGTAATGTTCTTTCAGGGACTTATCTCAAAAACGTAAAGTAACATTAATACCTTAACGTATACATAAATCTTCACAGACAGATGTAATTGAGGATCCGGTTATTTTTCAAAATAAAAAGCTTTTCTCTGAGGTAGACGTTGCCATGTAAAGGTAAGTTGTCTGTCGCCATCTAGTGGTACCAGGCGACATATATAAAAGCTCACCCACGTAAAGTTATAACATTATGATATAATAATATAATATCCTAAACATTAATGTTCTAATAATATTACTATGATACACTAATAATAACATTGCATTGTTATGGATTGGTGGGGAGTATGCAGAGACGTTCTTGGGGTCATGTGTGATCTGGTTGTGCATCACCTAGTGTAAATGTCCTGCATAGTGAGCTGTCCCGGATATGTTTTCAGCACAGCAGAGTTCTCCTATCTGTGCTGCTGCCATACCAGGCAGTGAACACAGATTTAACTCTGCAGATGTGTAACGATGTTGAACTTCCTCAGCCATCTCGTTGCCTCTCCTTCCTGACCAAGGTTTTGATGTGGGTGGTCAATGTCCCATAAATCCTGAGAAGAGTGTGATGGGCCCCCTGCTTCTCCCTCTCGAAGTCGACAATCATCTATATTGTCTTGTCAGAAACTCTTTCTCCTGGAGATAAGGCCTACCACCACTGTGTCATGTACAAACTCATCATTACACTCTAATAGTTATATACTTTTTAACATTACGTCATCAGATTCACTAAAGAAAGGCCCCCTATGTTAAAGAGATGACCCAAAAATAATACCCCCACCAGTGAAAAAGAAATGTTATAGCTCAGTGCGGTAATTTGCTTCATTTAATAACTTAATAACTTTAAACTACTATCAGACAAACAGGGACTTTTGTTCTCTAACACAAAGAGGCCATTCCTTAAACCTAATACACTATCTAGAAAAGAAAGTCTAGACCAGTGGTCATGCATGAAGCCGTTATTGCACTCAAATATATCTATTAGGCAGTTTTAATATGGCACTTTATTTGAACTGTCATGGATTGGTAGCTTATTAAGCTACTATTTTCAATGACAGCAAATCACCAGCCGTTTCAATGTGTGCTACGTTTCTTAAAAATGACTTATCTAGTTCAACGATAGGTATTTTCTGTAACCAGAAGTTAGCAATAAAAGTGTTGCAATCATATTGCTTTTTCCTGATTATCATGTGAAGTCCAAATATAGCTGCAGGAGACCTCCCAAGGGAGCTGAATTAATTAACTTCCATGATTGGCTCTATTTTATTCCAGGCCCTGGAGCTAGAAATGTCACAGTAAAACCATCAGAACCTACTTTCCTAATATATAATTTTTTAAACAAAAAAAAAAAAAACCAAAAAAACAAGGCCATTTATTAAGGCCACCGTCTCTCTGGTACTGCCAATTGCACATCAAAAGCATCAAACACTTTACTCTACTAGCAACCTCACTATTATTTTGACGAGTTTATCGCCAATATTTGTTGATAAATCACCTGCCAAAAAGCTCCCATTTAAATAAGACTCAGTGTGTCATCTAACTCTTTAACTGTGATAGCAGAAGAGCTTTCAAATGATTCGTTTTTAATCTGATTGACTATGTATACCATATGAATAACTTTTCTAAATATGACCCCAAAGAGTTGTCTTCAAGAAAGATTTGTCAAGTTTTTTTTCCCTAAATACAAGAAAGATTTGTCAAGTTTTTTTTCCTAAATAAGTTAAAATTAACGACAGTCCAATTCACTTGGCCATTCTGCCAGTCAGCTTCATCAGCCTTGTCAATTCTTAATCATTTTTTAATTTTAACAAAATTTAAAAAAAAAACAATATAACATGTCAGAAAAAGAAGAACGTCAAGAAAATTGGGAAAAGTAAATATGAAATATGGCTAGAAATACACATAGAGGAATTAAAAAACCTCCCGCAACATTTTAAGGTTCACATTAAAAGTTTCTTACAAAATTGTAATAGTTGCCAACTAGTATGCATGAAAACCATCCACATACCGAATGTTGATGAATATGGTACAAATGGCCTTATTTGTGGACAACACAGAAAACCGTCTTGAGAGCAGCCTCTAAATAGACCACGCTCAGTGATTAAATATCCTATTCTTGACAGACAAAATGGTCTTAATAACAAATCAATTTGGCAATAGAGTGACTAACCTGAAATATAGGCGCCTGGATTCCCTCTCCTAACTTGTTCCGTATGTAGATATGGCGGGACATTTCGGCCAGGACATCGGGCCAAAATGCGGGCTGCTCGGCTCCTGCCCAGCGAAGGTGTGGTGGGTTCCGGGCTGCGTGCTCCAGCTTCAACAACAGCTGAGAAACATGAGCACTGGTGACACCGTTGCTTCCTTCAACTTCAGCTTTAGCAACAACTTTATTTTCAGCTCACACAAAGGTACGGTTTCTGATTCTGCTGAGAGACGAACTCCTTTTGTTCGCGCCACACAGAAACGAAGCCCCCCGCCCTGACAGATCATTAATACACTGGAGACTTTATTATTGATTATATGGCTTACATACATTGGAAATGATAAAAGTGACAACTGCAGATTGGCATGATTGGCTCTTCTAATAATAAGGAAATTCTACATCCTTATTACGAATTATGCAATTTGACAAAAAACAGAAACAGAAACCAACATGGCATATACTAGGGTTGTTAAACATATGACCCGTGGGCCAAAACCCGCCCGCGTGTTCAGTACAGTCTGCTTATTGAATGTTGAAAGTGAAAAAAAAAAAAACCCTGCATGTTAGTGATGCTTTGCAGAAAAACAAAGGGGAAAAACATGTACTGTACCAGATAGAAGATAAATGGGTATTAGTCAACAAATGTAACTGAATTGAGCTTCAAATAAAGCAGTAACATTGGTGTAAGAAGGTAGAAAGACAACTTGGAATTAGATGAAAAAAAAGGTGGCTCAGCTCAAACTCAAGAAAACACAACCCTGATCTGATTTTCTCTAATGTACCAACTGTATTTGACCTTAGTGTAAATCAGGGCTGTCAAACTCAATCAGTGGGACGAAAATTAAAACACTTTGGGGGCCAAACAGCCATAGCAGTTATTTAAGTCTAGGGCAGAGAATGCTCTTACCAGAAATATTAAAGACATTATGTACCAATAATTAATTACTTTTGTTTTTTTCAAGTACATATGGTCAGGAAATTGTTATTAGCAATTACTCCCTTATATTCCTTGCACGTTGTTTCCAAGTGATGATATAATGCTTACAATTTTAAATGACATTTTACAATTTGGAATTACAGTAGTAAATGCTTTACTGAACTCATTGTTTTGTGGTTTGTTGTGAGGATAACAAAATTAACAAACTACACTTATTTATTATTATTAATTTATTAATACACTTATCTTGTGCAATAGTAATGTAACTAATAAACAAAAGTGAACAACAAAGACATTTGGTTTGAAATGTTCTAAACGACAGTCAGAATAAGAGAAGAAACCCAAATGTAAAGGACACAGTAAGTTCCAGCACTATGATGGTTTCTTGTTAACCAATAGAAAAGGACTTTCATGATTGTCTAATCCGCGCGAGAAACGTGCATCAGCCAATAGTACATGTTCACCACCATCCGTTGGTCCAATGGACAGCGAGTGGCGTTTATGAAGCTAGCCAATGGAATACCGTAACTGGTTTTTTTTGCCACCAAGCAGGTTAGCCGGTATCGTTTGGCCTCCTCTCTAGCCCGTTGATCTTTTTGCCTCTTACTGCAATGGCGGAGCAACAGCAGTTCAACCTCTTACTGGGAAACCTGATGAGCCCTGACAACAATGTCAGGAAACAAGCAGAGGTAAGAGATGGCAACACTGTCGTTTAATTACTAATGTGGTGAACGAAGGCAGAGAACGGGCGCAGACGTTGTCGATCAAGCGCTAACAGCTATGGTAACAGGCTGGCGTCCACGTGCAACTTCATCGAGTAGAAGTCAGCTAACGCTAATTACCAGCGCTGATACTGTTGCGTAGTTATTGAACGCAGCATTTACAGATATATGTATCAGTCCAATTGTTTGTGTCAATGTGCGTCAGTTTAAACAACGTAGAAAAACAGCTTTCGCAACTGAATCACAACTTCAGTCACCCACATTGAAGCTAGTTCGCAAACTGCTGCTTCGGCACAGAAGGCTAACTGTTAGCAATTTATCTGCATTGATTGGCCCGTTGGTCAATAACATGAAACAGAGGTTAGATTTTAAAATACCTTACTTTGTTTTTCAGCAGTGTTTGTTAAAATAAATATTGGATGCGGGGATTTTAATTTACACTCACGCTCTTAAGTGTTTTCTTCAGGAGTGACATACAGTTTTCTAAATGTTAACCGGGTTTTGTATAAAGGTTAGTGGGTCAGGAAGCTTTGATTTAACTTCCACAACACATTACCTCTTATAATCCCCCATTTGGGCGAATTGGTTGAACACAGAGATATTTTGTCACTCCCCTTAAGGGAAATAATGTTTTGTTGGGCTGGGGTGGGTTTCAGGAAAGACGATATTTACATGGCAGATCAAAATTAGAGATGCATCGATTCCACTTTTTTGTAAGTCACTCGAAACTAAAATTTATTTTTTCAGTGCTAAATGTTAGTTTTGTAACAAGTAATTATGAAACATTTCCCTCAAACTGCACTCACACGTTATCTTTAGTTCAACAACTTTCAAAATAAAGTCTTTGGTGACTGGAAGGAAGTACCACATGAAAATGTGTTCTTCTGCACAAAAGCCTTTGGACATATTGAAGCTCTTGCAATTATTGAAAATTGTATTTCCAGCCTAGGAAAACATAGGTTGTGCATTGTTGTTTCTTGTGTTATGTAAAGTGAAAGTGATTTGTAATTGTTGCACGACACAACACCTCACACAAGGAAATGCGTCCTCTGAATTTAACCCATCACCGTAGTGCGCAGGGGGCAGCTCAAGCAGTTTGTGTAGGGATGATGTTTAGGGCATCTCAGTGACACCTTGGTGAATGTTGGATTTGAACCTGTGACCTTCCAGACACAAGTCAGCCTCCTTAACCACCTGGCCACAATATATTGATTTCAAAAAGTGTGGTCTGTGACGATAGCAAACTTTGCTGCACAATATATTGTCCTAGAAATTATTGCCAAAATAGATATTATTGTTGATGTTATATTGAGACCAAATTCACCACTGGATTTGAAATAATATATTAATGCATTCAAATGCATTAAACCTTTTATCAAATTCCAGGTGGACCCTTAATGCCTCTGTCATTCCTATATATTGGCCAGTCCCACTTGTACTATTGACTCGGTGAAATGTTCTGTGAAGACCTTTACCACAGCTATCTGTGCCACCAAAGTCTCGCTGCTTTTGATACTGTAGTTTTCAACTTTTTTTTTATCAGTTTCCTAAATAGGGTTATTGTCATTCAAAGGACAATGTTGATGTATAATATATAGTTTTGTGTCTTTGTATGAGTGATTCATCCCAAATACAAAGCTATAGTAATTTTTTTTTTTTTTTTAACTGGAAAGCAGTGGATGCTTTGCAGCAGTGTGGAGAACATGTACTTTGGTCTCCTGTTTGATCTAACTCTGCTTCACTGCTGTCCCTGCCTGTCTCTGTCTGTCACCTGCCTTATGAGTTAAGAAGAGATATTTTAAGTTCCAAGAATATGCACACATGCACAGAGAGTGAGCCTGACGCAGGTCACATCAAACTGTACCCCTTTCATTGAGAGTATTCACTTGTCGAGCGGCTAAAACCGTTGTATTGCTGCCATGTTTTATTGAGCCATTTTTTGTGTTTACTCTACTTCAATACTGCCTTTTAGGAGACCTATGAGACTATCCCTGGCCAGAACAAGATCACATTCTTGCTACATGCAATCAGAGATGCGTCTGCTGCAGAGGAGGTTTGTATGGACACATTTTTCTACTTTGTTTAGGTGCATTTGCCCTATTGTGGGGGGAAAGTAAAATTTAAATGTCATGTCTAAAATATATATTATTTCTTTTCTGTGGTCAGGTCAAACAGATGGCAGCAGTGTTGTTGCGGCGGCTGCTATCGTCCTCTTTTGATGATGTCTTCCCAGGCCTGACACTGGAAATGCAGACGGCAATCAAGACAGAACTGCTGACTAGCATCCAACTAGAGACCTCACCAAATATCCGCAAGAAAATCTGTGACATTGCTGCTGAGCTTTCTCGCAATCTTATTGGTATTTTAGATTTTTCATAAGGATAGAGCTCGTTATACTGCAGCTGTGACAAACGATAACCAGAATTTGCTCTTTTTGGCAGATGATGATGGAAATAACCAGTGGCCTGAGGTGCTCAAGTTTCTGTTTGACTCTGTTAGTTCGAACAATGTTGGCCTGCAAGAGGCTGCACTCCATATATTCTGGTGAGCTGAAGAAACACTTTTTTTGCAAAAGTAGGTGTGTAGTTAAGATTCAAGTGGATTTTTTTCTATTTATTTTGCCATTTTTGTTTTCCAAGGAACTTCCCAGGAATTTTTGGCAACCAGCAACAACATTATCTAGATGTTATCAAACGAATGCTTGTTCAGTGCATGCAGGACCAGGCAAACCCACAGGTACAATTACAAGCCCTTGCAGTTCAGGGTATTTCCTGTTTGTGGCACTGTATAGTAAATTAGCCAAAAAACGACTTTGCAGATTACCACTTTGGCGGCCCGGGCCACAGCCTCTTTTGTCTTGTCCAATGAAAGCAACACAGCGCTGCTCAAGCAGTTCTCTGACCTGCTGCCAGGAATTCTCCAGGTAAAAAGGGGGCTCCACCCTTTGAGGATTATTATCTAATCTAAACACATTAGTCATAACACTCAAAGTATCCAAGGAGGTTGCGTGACTAACTTCTGTTTACTTGAATAAGCAGGCAGTGAACGATTCCTGTTATCAAGGAGATGACTCTGTCCTCAAGTCATTGGTGGAAATTGCAGACACTGCACCAAAATACCTGAGACCAAATCTGGAGGCCACTCTGCACCTGTGTCTAAAGGTGGGTTTTGGACAGTGTTTTGACTTGAGGCCTAAGTGTGCAGTTTTGTTTGGGTGTGTATTATAGTTCAATGGAAAAGTCAACACGTACACACTGATTACCAGTTATTTACAGTGATCTTTAAAAAGTGGTTTACTCTATGCACTTAACATTAAAATTTGTTTTCTAATTCTATTTTTTTTTTTTATTTTAAGTAAAGCCTTTTTGATCTTATATTAAAGCTGACAGTGTGCTCATCTTCTGCCTTAGCTTTGTGCCGACGCCAACCTGACTAACATGCAGAGGCAGCTGGCATTGGAGGTTATTGTCACCCTATCAGAGACGGCAGCGGCCATGCTGAGAAAGCACACTGCAATTGTGGATCAGTGTGGTAAGGAGTGTCTCTGTGTATCTGTTTCTTTGTAGTTGAAGGTGTTATTCATCTACACATGGTTTTGTTTTCTCAGTGCCTCAGATGCTGGCTATGATGGTGGACCTGGAAGATGACGATGAGTGGGCTAGAGCTGACGAATTGGAAGATGATGACTATGACAGGTATGGGCTGGAATCATGGGAAGCACACCTTGCATACTAGTTTCTGAAGAATAATGGTTTACTATAAAACGGATGGATAGTTAATTTTCACTTTTTTACTTTTGCTAAGTAATGCTGTGGCTGGCGAGAGTGCTCTTGACAGAATTGCCTGTGGACTGGGAGGAAGGATCGTTTTGCCCATGATCAAACAGCACATCATGCAAATGCTGCAGAACTGTATGTGAAGTGACTGATCACTGAAAACTTTGAAAAAAAATGTATCTTATTGGCTGCTTAAGTTTAACTTTAGGCCTGTCATTGTAAAAAAGAAATAATCACTCTCTCAATCTTGCCTTCTAGCTGACTGGAAGTATCGTCATGCTGGACTGATGGCACTGTCTGCTATTGGTGAGGGCTGCCACCAGCAGATGGAGGCTATCCTGCAAGAGATTGTTGGCTTTGTCCTCCTCTTCTGTGCAGACCCAGTAAGATGTACATTATTTTATCAATGAGAAGTCTTGTGAAAGTGAAAGCGTGTGTTTGTCGTGCCATATTTTTCAAATTGCCACTAAATGTCAAGTCAGCCTTAGATTTGTAAATTTCAGAAACATTGTAATCATGACTTGTTTAATAAGGGCTATTCCAGACGCCCTGGAACCATTACAATATGCATTAAGGAGAAACCCCTGTCACTGATGGCACACTGAACTCAGCTACATGGGTCTCACACACCTGGAGGGCTATGACACTTATGTGAAAGTGCTGTTCACTGATCACACCTTAGCATTTAATGCTGTAGTTCCACTCAGACCGACTGAGAAGCTCCTCGGACTGACGCCCTCCGTCTGCAACTGGAAACTACACCTTCTTATAGACAGACTCCAGACAGTCAGAGTTGGCAAGTGGACATCATGCACCACCACTGTTAGCATAGGGAACCCCAACAGGGCTGTGTTCTGAGCCCACTGCTAATACAGACTAACCATAACACTTATGTCTGTGTTGTATCCCAGATTAACACCAGGATCACAGCATTTGTTGCCAACAGTGCAGTCAGTGCACCGATCATTGGGTGAGAGGAGACATCGTACAGGGAGGTAGCCTAGGGCAACAACCTTCCCTAAATGCAGAGATGACCCAGGAGAGTATTATTGATCCTAGGAGGAGGAAGTGGCAGGACAGAGGTGGAGAGGGAGAAACCTTTAAATTTCTTTGGACTCACATCAGTGAGGACCTCGCTGTGTCTTAAAATACCCAGCAGCTACTGAACCCACAGGCTTTCAGACAGACTATCCAAACTACCATTGATTCTTAACTCGTGTTGTGTCTGTTGTTGCACCTCTAGCTTTACTTTATCCAATTGTTTTTCACAGAATCTTTAACCTCTTAGGGTAATTTAGTCCCTAATTATTGTTGTTGTAACTGTTGTTTATTGCTGATGCATTGTTGTGAATTGTCAGGTGTAAAGGGAGAACAACAAAGTAAGAATTTGGCAATTTAAATTTTAATTATGTTGTGGTGCTGAGTTTTGGTTTTTTTTTTCTCTCTCCCAGCATCCAAGGGTGCGATATGCTGCCTGCAATGCTATTGGACAGATGGCCACAGACTTTGCTCCCACCTTTCAAAAGAAATTCCACGATAAGGTACTGTATATGAAACCAATGTCCTTCAATGTTTTTGATGTAAACCCATGTTGTTTATTTTGCATCTAGAGCTTTATTATATAATTATATCTTGGTAGTATGAAATGTCGTGTCAACAACTGACCTTTAGTTTTTCTAAACATCAAGGTCATATCAGCCCTACTCCAGACTATGGAAGACCAGAGTAATCCCCGAGTGCAGGCCCATGCAGCTGCTGCCCTTATCAATTTCACAGAGGACTGTCCTAAATCTCTTCTAATCCTCTACTTGGACAGTTTGGTTCAACACCTTCATGTCATTATGGTTGCCAAGCTACAGGAGGTACGTACTCACAATACACACATCTCAATAAATAATGAAAACATTTGGCCCTAGCTGAGCACCTTCCCAAAATCAGTTGTAAGAGTTCTTAAATATGTCTTCCTTCTTCCAAGTTGATCCAAAGGGGTACTAAACTGGTCCTGGAGCAGATAGTGACATCCATTGCCTCTGTGGCTGACACCGCTGAGGAAAAGTTTGTGCCATATTACGACCTGTTCATGCCATCGCTGAAACATATTGTAGAAAATGCAGTACAGAAGGAGCTGCGTCTTCTTCGTGGCAAGACCATTGAGTGCATCAGCCTTATTGGTCTAGCTGTGGGCAAGGAGAAGGTGAGTCGTCATCGAGTTCATCAAACACTGCTGATGCCGCTGCTTTACCCTTACAAATCCATGTTGAATGATTTTGCAGTTCATGCCCGATGCCTCAGCTGTGATGCAGCTCCTCCTCAAAACTCAAACAGACTTCAATGATTTGGAGGACGACGATCCCCAGGTAGAGATCTAGAAGATCCAGTCTATTGTAGTGTCCTTCATGTTTGTCTAGTTTTTCCTGTGCAACTCACACCTCATTTTGTGTTGTTTAGATCTCGTATATGATCTCTGCTTGGGCCAGAATGTGTAAGATCTTAGGAAAGGAGTTTCAGCAGTATCTGCCTGTAGTGATGGGTCCCCTGATGAAGACTGCGTCCATCAGGCCAGAGGTGGCGCTTCTTGACAGTAAGCAAAGCTACAATTAATTAAAAAAAAAAGGTTTCTTTGGATTTCAGAAATGATTGCATTATTAAGGTTTTCATTTAAAACCTTTTTTTCTTGTTTCATTGTTGAAGCTCAGGACATGGAGAGCATAACAGAGGACGAGGGCTGGGAGTTTGTCAATCTGGGAGACCAACAAAGCTTTGGCATCAAGACTGCTGGCCTAGAAGAGAAGTCTACTGCCTGTCAGATGCTGGTAAGGGACAAGCAGCAACATTTCATATAGAAAATATTCAGTGCTTTGCTGTTTCAACACATTGTTTGGTTATTAACACATCCTGGAGTGGATGCAGTTTAGTTTGTTGTTGCCTCAAAATTCTACGCACAATACACAGTAATAAGTTAAGAGGGTGTGACATTTTCCTAACAAAATATATCCCCGAAAATACACATGTACCATGTATTGACATGTTATGGTTAATACATGGTACTTTGTTGAAGCAACTTTGGCAGCCATTAGGGTCAAGTCTTTAAAAATCTGTGTAAAAATATCTGTTAAATATCTGCAGCAGCACCTGACTGTGGTATGCATGTGGAAGGGTGTTTTTTCTGAATGGAGAGCACACAGACAGACACACACACGGCTTCAATGGCTGCTTTGTGTACTATCTTGTAAATAGTCAGCCCTCACCAGTGTCTTGATTCATTGACTTCACGAGGCAGTGAGTTGCAGTCAGTAGTTCTAGGAAAGCGCAGTGATTTTGCAGATGCAGCAGGACTGCCGTACCTAACCGTGCGTGTGCACGTTTGTGGCCCAGTCTTCACAACAGCCACAGAGTCCAGACTTTAGGGGCAAACATGCTGAGGTGCAGTACAATGGCCTGGTGTGAGTGCCGTTTGAGCTCCATCTTAGGGCAAGAAGTCAGTGTCCGCTGAAAGGAGAGTAAAAAGTAACTTGAAATACGATCATCTTTGTAGGACCTGGTAGAATGTCAAGATTACTTTATCACAAATAATTGCAGTATGGGGCAATATGGTTAATTTAATGTTTCCTGAATGCCATCAGAAAATATTATGCCTTTGATCACAACTGAAACTGAATGAAAAAGTTAGATAACACCTGCGTGAACTCGTGTGGAAGGATGATTTGTGGTCATGGCAAGGACCCACTTATATACATATTTGAATTCTGCTTTTGTTTTGTTTTTTAAAGTGTTTTTAATAAATACATTTTAACTCTGTCCTATTGTGTTTTCAAAGGAGAAATTAATTCATTTTAGAGCAAGGCTAATTTGGGGAAAAAAACTGGTTTCTGTGTATCTCCAACAAAGTTTACCTCATTTAATTAGGCTGTAACATAAGTTGTTTGTTTTTTTTTATTTTTCCTTACAGGTGTGTTATGCCAAAGAGTTGAAAGAGGGGTTTGTGGAGTACACAGAGCAAGTTGTGACTCTGATGGTTCCTCTACTCAAGTTCTACTTCCATGATGATATCCTTTCCTGTCTTGTTTGCAATTACATTTTGTATAAGGCTGTTTCAGAACTGTTGGACTTTTCCATAACCTTCCTCACGTGTGCGAGTAGCGGCAGCCGAGTCCATGCCTCTGCTTCTAGAGTGTGCCCGTGTGCGAGGGCCAGAGTATCTCACCCAGATGTGGTTTTTCATGTGCGATGCCCTCATCAAGGCCATTGGAACTGAGCCAGACTCTGATGTACTGTCAGAAATCATGCACTCATTTTCAAAGGTGATCAATTTTTGAGTAGTATTGTATCTCTACAGTTACACTTATTTTAAATCAATAGTGCGGTCCTCCTTCTTTAAACCATTTAGAAGCTCAGTGATGTATTCAGCATCACCAGTTTATTTGAAGAAACATAATGCAGCTACTTTCTTACAAACTGCTAAATGAGTCAGTTATCTTAAATGCAAAAATTGTAATATGGAAATATTTTTGAAGCTTCACATTTAATAACAGTGAGTAGAATGCTTATCATGGTAAGTTATGTTTAATGTGACTAACCTTCAGTTTTGTGTTTTGTTAGTGCATTGAGTTAATGGGGGATGGCTGTTTGAGTAAAGAGCATTTCGACGAGCTAAGTGGGATCCTAAAGGGAAAACTTGAAGAGCACTTTAAAAACCAGCGCCTCAGACAAGGTGAGGAAAAAAAACTGAACATTTCTTTAAAAAAATGTAGTGATATATCCCTACATTTTTGATCATTGACAACAGGCAACTTAGCTGTTATTTACTGTTACACTATATATATATTATATTATTTGTTTTGTCTCTCGTCACCCATATAAAGGAAGTGAAACAGAAAATAATATTCTGGAGCCAAACGGACAAAGTAACATTTAACGTTTTTTGTAGGACAAAGTAACATTTAACGTTTTTTTTTTTTTTTTTTTTTTTACTTGCTTTCTAGCCAAGAGAGAAGATGAGGACTATGATGAACAGGTGGAAGAAACGTTACAAGATGAGGTAAAAAAAAATTGAAGTTAAATTGTATGGCAAACAGAGTTTGAGCCCAGAACAAAACCTGTCCTATTTTCCTGTTCTTAATCTGTTCTGTCACTTGTGTTTCAGGATGAAAACGATGTGTACATCTTGACCAAAGTTTCAGACATTCTGCATTCGGTCTTCTGTAGCTACAGAGAAAAAGTATTGCCGTGGTTTGAACAGCTGCTCCAGCTAATTGTCCAGCTAACCGTAAGTAACCTTTGACCTCAGACAGATGTTGGTTTTATGCTGTCCAATGGTGTCATTGGGAAATTGATGCAAGACTTCAGTCTCAGAAGATAGTTTAAACTTTTAAATGTGTGTTGCTTTAATGCACATAAACATGGGGTCACACGAAGTGTGGTTGGATGGGATTGGCATTATGGGTGGGTGTCTGAGCTCACATGAACGTTCTGTTGGGTATGCAGAAATTTCAGGACATCAAAGCAGGGAGGAACTGACAGGGTTTTTTTTTTTTTTTGTTTTTTGAAAGTAGCAGAGTTTTGGACCTCATTTACATGGTGACAATACGATATGACTGTAGCTTCTGAGACAGAATACAACTCTGGTCCCTGTACTGCATATACCAGGCCTGTATGTGGCGCTGTCTACAATAGTCTCAACTAACTAACACCAGAGGAATATGAACAGGAAGTCCAAAAAAGGACAGACCCGTAGAGCAGGTGTATAAAGCTTGCAGACTCTAAACAAAGTCAAATGAGAAGCTGGAGAAGATGAAGACAGCAAACGTTTCCCTTCGCTATTATTTTGGTCAATATTGGGGGAAAAAATGTTTTAGCTTGGTTATTTGACTCTCTGAACATTGTATGAATTGCACATAATGAACAGTTGATTTGACAGTAGTTTATACCTTCCTGTTGAAATAAGTAGTATAATATTCAAATGTTAAAAAAGGAAACACGGGTAAATATACATTTTGTAGAGCACTGCTGCTCAAATGAAAATGAAAAATCAATGTAAACATGTATAAATTGCTGCAACCATTTACTTTGAGTTAAAGCAATTCATGTTTTCATCAGGACAGTTATCACAGCATTCAGACGATTTAATTCAAGATGTTCTGTTTCTTTGGTCACTTCTACAGTCTAGGCAGCCATCATTAACTTTGAATTGACAATAAAAGTTGAGTATATAATTTATACAAGAAAAGGAATTAGACCGTGTGTCCTTTTGCCTTCAGTGTCCAAACAGGCCCTGGGCAGACAGACAGTGGGGTCTGTGCATCTTCGATGATGTCTTGGAGCACTGCAGCCCCTCCTCCTTCAAATATGCCGACCACTTTCTACCAGCCATGCTGCAGTCGTTATGTGACCCCACCCCCGAGGTACGGCAGGCAGCAGCCTATGGTGTAGGTGTGGCAGCTCAGTTTGGAGGAGAGAACTACAGCCCTTTCTGCACAAGTAGGATCCACTGCTTGTACTGTTGTCGACTTCTATCGTTTCCTTGATACTGAACCCGTGTTCTTGTTTTTCTGCAGAGGCCCTTCCTCTGCTCGTCAGCGTCATTCAGGCGGCGGAGTCGCGCTCTAAAGAAAACGTCAACGCCACGGAGAACTGCATCTCTGCTGTTGGAAAGGTGATGAGGTTTCGACCAGAATGTGTCAATGTCAACGAGGTCCTTCCCCATTGGCTCAGCTGGCTCCCACTCACTGAGGACAAAGAGGAGGCCGTCCACACTTTTGACTTCCTGTGTGACCTTATTGAAAGGTAAAGCAGCTCATGGTGTTTCACCAAGTATCAGAACTACACGACTTTGATCTTGCAGTACAAAAATTGACAAAAGAAAGTAGTACGTAATTGAAGTGTATAAGAACATGGATGTCAATAAATATATTGTTCAAAAATGTTAATGACTTTGATCTTTCACAGCAATAACCCTATCGTCCTCGGCCCGGACAACTCCAACCTTCCCAAAATTTTCGCCGTCATTGCAAATGGCATTGCGAATGAATCTGTTAAGAGTGAGGATGCATGCAGCAAACGTCTCGCAAATGTCATCCGTCAAGTCCAAGTGAGTGAATAATCAATCTCAAGATGAAACTCCAGAGTTCCCTGAATCTCACATCTCTGAGATGTTAATTATTAATTAAGATCAGCAGTTGTTCTGTTTGGTAAAGCGATAGGTTATAGGTGGTTTGATTGGACACAGCTTTTTGGGTGCTGACGTGTTTTCCTTCCTCCAGGTGTCTGCAGGATTATGGACCGGCTGCGTGTCGACCTTGAATGAAGTGCAGCAGAAAGCGATACAGGACCTACTGAACACTGCCTGAGCTTGGAGTGTGCTCCTCTCTCCGCTCTTTTAAAAGAAAGTTGAGCTCCTAGATCATCGCGAACACACCTTCTTCCTGCTTGGACCTGTAGTGTAAATGGACAGACCTCACCCTCATCACCTTCCCCGTACCACTCCACTCAGCTGTATGGGGAGCAGGTTGCATATTTATACCAAAAAGGGACATTGGCTTTTTCTAAGGCCTCAAAGGCTTTTTCTGCATCCCAACAAAATGGGAAGGATGGGGTCGTCAGTTCTATCCAGCTTATAAATGTAACCTGTTTACCATCTAGTCCTTTCCCCCCGCCCGCCCCATCATTCACTGGTGTTTGACCTGTCTATCTGTGTCCAGGGGGAACTCACTGTTAGTGTATGTAGTCCAACACAAATGTGATTGGACAGACTGGCTAAGAAGAAACAGTTGGAGAAATCAAGAAGTCTTGTTAGTGGATTGAAATTTTGGTGAATTAAAAATCCAAACAAGGCAATTATTGTTCGTCTGAACCTTTTTCTTTCATCACCATGGTTACGGTGGCCTCAGAGGGACTGAAAGTAAAGGGCGCATTCAAACAGTTGATTCAAGAACATGAATTAGATTTAACATCATGTGTACAGTTTTCATATTTTTAGGGAATTTTTCGTAACCTGTTGTGTGATTTAGCTCAACATCCGAGTTGAAATTAAACAACTAATTTTTGTGTGTGCTTATGTACGATTAAACAATGGTTTTGACGCTTCACTCCTGCAGGTTGTGATGGAATGGAAAATGCCAATAATTAAACCACTCGATAAAACTGGCCTGAGAGAAAGCTTGCTCTTTTTAGAAACATTTTTGAAACATCTACAGGGATTTCACTTCAGCTGAAACTGACCGTGCTGATTCCTAGGTCAGAGGTCAACAACATGTGGCTCTTTCAACCCTCTGCAGCTCTCTGTGGCTCTAATACAGGTGTAGGTGTGTGTGTGTGTCCCCCTCGGAATGAGACGCTAACTCGTGGTAGATTTTTATCATTCTTTTTTTTTTAATGTCCACCAGAACCTAACAAAACGTGTCCTCTCGCACTGATGCTGTTGCGTCTTCCCCCGACTACAGGTCCTATACCCAAACATGCCGACATGTTGGATATTATTCAGGTTTTGATAAATCCAAGAGATGGGAAGTGGAGACCAAGAGTTAGTAGAGTAATCCGAGTGTACAAAGAATAAATGTTGAACATGAGTTGTAATATTTTGATAATGGAGTAGTAATGCATACTTAACCACTTCAACCTATTTTATTTCTTTATTTCCATCTTTTTAAATACATCACCTTTATGGCTTGACACAATAAGCAATTTTACATTTAACTGAATAATTTAAAAATCTATATTGTTTACATTGTATTCAAATTTGCCAAAAGTGACACCTTTAGTAACAGTGTTTAATTTCAATATATTGTTCATTTCCAGATCGGCTTCTTTTCCCACAACTGCATCTGTTTTTGACATGAAAACCAATTACCTAAATGTCAAGTATTGTAAACCACAATAATTGTATGATAGTAGCCATTGATAAAAGACACAACGCTGCTTTAATATTGTGCTTTTAACTAGAAGGAAACAGGGAAGCCAAATTATGTTTTGGTAGTGATTTTGTTGATAAAACATTTTATTGAAAGTGCTTTGAAATATACACTTCAACAGGGGGGAAAAAAGCCACACAGCTGTAATTTAGTTTCCTCTCCTACACTAAGTAGGATTGTATTTTGTTAAGTCTTAATCAAACTCAAGGAAAATCAAAGTAAATTATTATCAGCAGAAATACATTTACAGTATATTGTCCAACATACCAAATAATATTTACAAATAATACAAAAATGATCAACCGTAAAAATAAAGTTTCTCATTTGTCCACCAAGTCCAAAGAAACCACCGTCCATCCAGTCTTGTTATTAGGTACAACCCAAGAGCCAAAAAATAAAGTCTTTCTTTATACACCTAGGGTCGAGGGTCAGTCCATCGTCCTCAGCTAGCTGATTGCAGCTGAACATACGTGGAGCTCGAGATAAAAAAAGGATGAAAATGGTCTGGAATCACAAAGATAGATCTTGTTTTACTGTACTCTGAATTTGTAAAAGGAGCAGAGACCACGGGTGAAGTTCCAGCCCAGCGTCAGGGACAGAATGTAGATGAGGCCAAGCACAGCAAAGGGGTAAAGTAGCACCACCGTGTAGTTCAGGTAGGGTAGGACTGTGAGCATAAGACAAGATGGAGTTAATCAAACAGAAAATCATTCCAGTTTTTTTTTTTATCCAATCACATTTCAGACATCATGAAGGCTGTCAGAATCACCAGTGTAGTGACATGGAGCCTGAAGTTGATGGCAATGAAAGTTTCTTCAAACAGATTGATGTGGTGACACCAAGGAGCAACAGAACTTTAACTTTTATCTTTGATGAATCTAAGACTTTTAATTGATGGTTTATTCTTTTTAATCGTGGTTTTTAGAATTTTTTAGCCATATAGTATTCAGATTTCCAGCTATACTTTCAACACAGCTGTCTTTGTCCAAAGGAACTTTCTTCAGTGAGAAAATTACATTTATACAAAACAATAATTCATTAACGTCACATTGGGGACTCACGTATGCAAAGATTAAATAACATTTATCATTTGACATTTTCTATTATGTGTGACGGTACAGTGGAATAAAACTTACCATTATAACCCAAGAAGGTGATGTAGAGATAATAACTTATAGCAATCAGCCACATAGTGTTTCCAACAAAGTATCCCACGAACCAGTCAGCGTTTATCACCACTATATCTGCAACAACAACACAACAAACTAGGTTTATCACACAAAGTCTGGGCATTTTGTTATTAGAGAAAATGTGATCTCATTGTTATAATGTTCAAAATGTTTTAGCAAGATTGGCTTGATGTAAACACTAAGTTTAAAACATTCTATCAATTTCATTTATGTGTCTGTGTGTGTGTTTGTTTACAGTTTAAAATATACAGTACATTCACACTGCCTGCTCTACAGCCCCTTAGATCCATGATCTCTATAAACAACCCCAGCACAGAATAAGCTGATATTGGGCTTTCAGCATGTATACATTTATCTTAATAATCCCACTTCAGACACGAACTACTTACGATTGATGAAGAAAAGCTGCAGAAAATGCAGAATAACCAACAGTGGGTAGAAAGCATTCAGATGAACATCGAATGCGTAGCCCCATTCAACATCGAGGTTTCTGCTCGGTTGTTTTAACAAGTACTTGTTGCTGATGAACCTGGGAAATAAAAAAACAACATGGCTTCACTACTACTATAGAAACAAGGAATAAAAAGTCAAAGTCAAAAGGATACCCAACATGCTGTTGTTATGTATTTACAAATACATACATACCACATCAATGTTGATATCAGTAGGCCAACTCCAATGCAGTCAACAAACACAACCCACAGGAGCAGTTTCAGAGTCTCCATTACGCCCATGTCTAAGACAAGTCCGAAGCCTGTTGTTGACACTGGACATGAATGTTGACGTGTGTTAGTGAAATATGACCGAATGCTGAGTTTTAATTCACATATTTGGAGTACATATTTATAAAAAAAAATGTATTCAATGTCAGTGTAGTACTGGCAAACTCACCACACAGCCAGATGCTGAGCAAGACGAGGAAAGCAGGGTCATCCCTGGCCCACTGGTCCTTGGTCTGTTTCCTGTAGTGGAAGTTGCGATAAACCCTCTGTGGTGACGTAAACAAGTAAAGCATCTGCCAAACTGCAAACTCAAAGTCCATCTGTCTGAAATGCAGTAGGCGCCGCAAGTACTTGTAGCGCTTGGCACCCGCAGTGTGGCGTGCAGCATCCCGAGAACCGAGGGCACCGTTGCTGTGCGGCAGGGTAGTCGGCAACATGATGCTGGAATTTACAGACAGGGAAAATTATTGGCATATTCTAGGAAAAGTAACTGAATATCATTTATTCTTTCTTCATCTCCTATTGCTTCACAGAAAAAGGCTCACTGGGCTGTTTACGGGCACAAATACACCTTCTAATCCAAATGTGGCCACACTTGATACAGACTGATCATGCTTTAGAAATACCCTTTATGTTGGGGTTCTGATTAAATGCATGTGGCTGTGTGGCAAAATTATTTTATTCTTACAATATATGGCTAACTACTACACACTGTCGAATTATATTAGAATTTTAAATTGACCATCCTACCCAGATCACTAACTTTTAACTGTTCTCAGGCAGAAAAACAGATTTTACATTAAAGAAATAAAGACAATTTACTTTTAGAGATAAATGGCTGTGTTTAGTTTTGGCACTAAGTCATAACTTAGAAACATTCAAGCATTCACATGCTTTTATACTGTAGTCTTCACACCAAATTACGCAGCACTGTGAATGTAACTCAATAAAGATTACATTTATGAACCACTTTAAAAGTAGTTTAATATTGCTGAGAAGAAATACAACTCAATTAATACTGCGTAATATTGCGTCGAGTCGTATTAAAAGAATTCTAGCTGTTATGGGACAAAACATTTCCAAACGTTTGACAACTCGCCCTGAGAATCCAAAGCACCGAGGTGAAATACAAAAGCGTAAAAGCTGTGGTTTTCCAAATCAAATTGTACTTGTTTGTGTGGCATATTTTTTGTAAATATAAAAAGTAAAACCTTTTATGAAATTGAACACTGATGTAGAATTTAATGCAACGACGTTAGCAAACAGTTGCTTGTTGCTAACTAGCATAACAACCCCACTTCGACTGAACGGCTTTACCGCAAACAAGTAAAATTGGAAATAAAACAATAAATTTCACGTATTCCGTTAAAACAGATTTTCTACACACCTATAAAAAGACACTTGGTCTTTGCTGCAGCTCTTAAGAAACTCTTCCTGAAGTAGTATCTGCGAAGGAACACGTCGTTACTTCCTGTACGACCGCGGTTCATCATGGGAAATGTAGGAAAGAGGATTCGTGCACTTATCGTATACTAGGGGTATGGGAGTAATAATAGGAATTAATTAAAGTTTTTTCTGTAAATTGCTGGAACCGAAATACAAATTACTTTAGGTAGACGTATGTTCGTCACACCTGTTTTACTTGTAACTTTACTTGTGTTGAGATGGCATTTAAAGCTCCTGCAGTGTGTAAATATTGATGGTGGAATTATTGGACGTGCAAATGTGCGTCTATCTGTGGAGCTGAAGCTCCAAAACTCTGCGATGTCCTAGGGCCTAGGGAGATACAGATTTATAAACATTTAATTTCTCACATCATGTTACTGCTGCAGATGCCATTAAACTATCTTTGGAAGTGAATGGCGCAGTCACCGGACAGACGTCGATTTAGAAGCGAAACCAAAATAATTGTCTTCAAAATAAAAGCACAATAGTTGCGTTTCGGTATTGACTTTTGGTTTGACGAGTGCACGTGGTACAGTCGTAGAGTCAGACAACTGATACTTCCCCTTACTCTTATTATTCATATCATATTGTTCATTTTGCCCATTATATGTTTCTTAGCCACATTGTCAAATATTGTCAGTTGTAAAGCTTTATCGTACTGTATGTGTTCCTGGACACTGATAGGCCTTTCCCTCAAACATCAGAAGTATTGTTCTTGTCAAACTGGACTGCATGTCAGTATTTCGGCTGTGCATCCGACGTTTTAAAAACATATCTTTATTGTGAAACTGACCCCAACATAAAACGGAAGTAAAAGTTAGTACTTCCACCATCGTCATAGCTGTTTGGCTGTTGGCAACGCTAGCATCACTGCTGTTCTGGTCAAAAAGGCCAAATAGCACAAGGTGAGAGCAGGAGTGAATTCCGCAATGAAATTTCTAAACGATCTTAATCTGAAGCACCGACCAAAGATGATGCGTTTGAAAGTTTTATATCCTGTGCTTTTACCAACTCTGTCATCTCCGTGTCCTTGATTAGCTAACACCGTTAGCGTGTTGGTGTCTCAGGTTGTCGTTCCGTTTTACGGGTCACTTTAAGGGTAACATCCCTGTGTTGACAACCAGGAAGCTCAGCAGTGCCTGCTGTTCTAGGATCATCAGCTGGACCCAAATAAACTTAGGAAACTAAATCATAGTCCGACAGTTATTGTCTCGCAACCAGAACTTGGTAACTTGATTAAGTTTAGTGTTTTAGGCGATAGAGTATTTGCTGTAAACGTTTAAGAAATTAGCCCCTACGTTTCCTGTCACACTCACATTGATAATTCATTTCAAATGCTTTAACAACCTCAATTTATTCCCTATTTTTATTGTTCCAGTATACGTTTAAATGTTTTCATATTACAGTATGTACTACAATAACCAGTAGTAGTTATTAGTGGTGCAACTGTATTAATGTTGCACCACTAATAATTGTGCATAAAAGACAACTTGATATTTAGTTCCAGCAGAATAGTTTCAGGACTGCTACTCTTTTTACCATTTAACTAAAGAAAAGAATCTTATAATAAATTTCTTCTCAGAGCCTTATGGTTTATAGAGCCTTATCAAAACATGTCAACCTCTGTCTTTACAGCATCATGTTGCGACTGCCAACTTTTTCACGGTCTCTCCTCGGAGCTGCCAAGGGCAGTCTTGCCCTACCCAACACGGGTAAGTCCTTGGGTTTCAAACTTTGTTATGGTGTCTTTTTCTGTCTCTATGTGTATGTATTAACTGTCACCTCGTAAAAAAACAAATATAATGCAAATTCATTTATATTTAGTTCTCTTTCTCATGACTATCCTAAAATAAAAATAAAACATGTAGTGAACCTTAGGTTTATACTAAATCAACAGTCTTGTATTGAGAACCATCATCCCTCATATTGTGTTATTTCAGTTCGTACTGCAGCAAATGCTGCTAGTAACATGGTTGAAGTGTTTGTGGATGGAACACCAGTGGAAGTGGAGATTGGAACCACTGTTCTCCAGGTAATATGGCTTTTATTTAGCTTCTACATATGCATGTTTAATGCTTGTCAAGTTTTACCGAACTGTAGGCAAAAAAAGGAAATAAAGACTGTAAATAAAAAATATTTTGACTAATGTTAGAATTTTTTTTTCTTGTACAAGGCATGTGAGAAGGTTGGAATCCAGATTCCCAGGTTCTGTTATCATGAGCGCCTCTCTGTGGCAGGAAACTGCCGTATGTGTTTGGTGGAGATAGAAAAGGCACCAAAGGTAATGAGCTCAGGATCTACTGTTCACATTATCAGGCTAAAGTGATCTACCTACATTACTAACTACCTACTGACTAAATGCTTGTAGCTCTGTGGTACAATATGATTAGATTCTTACAGTATATGGTCACACACTCATGATCTACCAGCACTCCCTATCTACTTATGAGACACCCCTGCTTTACAATAAATAAACACCAAGGAACATAGAGGTTATTTTAGAGTTCACTGTGTACACTTTTAATTTTAAGGTTGTATATGCTGTTTTGTGTCCCTAGCCAGTTGCAGCTTGTGCAATGCCTGTTATGAAAGGATGGAACATTCTAACCAACTCAGAGAAAACACGTAAAGCAAGGTACCACCTGCATATTATGACCCTTAGTCACTACACAACACTGTCAGTGTGCTCACTCAACTTTGTGCCAATAGGGAAGGAGTGATGGAGTTCCTTCTGGCAAACCACCCTCTAGACTGTCCCATCTGTGATCAGGGAGGCGAGTGTGACCTACAGGTAAATATGCATTACACTCTGGGAAAGTTAGCGTTTAATGTTTGCAGAAAAAGGTTTTACTGTATGTGAAGTTTACTTGCTTTTGTCCTGCTAACCCTCTGCCTTCCATCACTTTAAGGATCAGTCCATGCAGTTTGGCTCCGACCGCAGTCGTTTCTCAGAAGAGAAGCGGGCAGTGGAGGACAAAAACATTGGGCCACTTATTAAAACCATCATGACCCGTTGCATTCAGTGCACACGCTGTGTTCGGTAAGTGCATCATGACAACAAATGCTGGACTCCATCAGCAGTGATTACATTAATATTTTGTGATATTCAGTTTTGCCAGTGAGATTGCTGGTGTTGAAGACCTCGGAACGACAGGAAGAGGGAACAACTTGCAGATTGGGACTTATGTTGAGAAGATGTTCATGTCAGAGCTGTCTGGTAATGTTATTGATATCTGTCCTGTTGGAGCCCTCACCTCGAAACCCTACGCTTTTACTGCGCGACCATGGGAAACCAGGTACGAACTTGAAAAATGATAAGTGAGCACAGTGACTATACAGACAATTGACCAATTCTTGGGTAGTAACAATTTGGAGATGTTGAAAGTGAGGATGCATATTTGGTCAAAACATGAAGTGAACAGACTAACTTTATTTTTATTTTTTTTAGAGTTTCTGAATAAATAGAATTTTTAAATATTTAAATTAAAGGGTGCACCCAACAATTTTTAGATTTAAATTGACAGACTATTTGTCTGCACGCCATTGGTTTTGCTTTACAGTTTGATAAAGTGGATTAGTTGCACACAATATTTCTGAGGTATGGTTCCACCTAACTGTTTTATTAGTTTTTAAAGTGCTTATCCTGTTTCTGCAGGAAAACTGAGTCCATAGACGTGTTGGATGCTGTGGGCAGCAACATTGTGGTGAGCACTAGAGGCGGTGAGGTCATGAGAGTGATGCCCAGGCTGAATGAAGACATCAATGAAGAATGGATCTCTGACAAGACTAGGTTAAGCAAGAACATAGCATCCACTTATCATTATTATCTTGCCCAATACATTCTTATCATACCAGTATCATATGTTTAATACATAGTCAATTTGGGGCTTTCACAGATTTTCATATGATGGACTCAAGAGACAGAGGTTGACCCAACCAATGATTAAAGATCAGTCTGGTCAGCTGACACCCACCAACTGGGAGAATGCACTCAGTTATGTTGCTGCAGCAGTAAGTGTCAAATGTTAATATCTTTATACCCATGGTTTATACCATGATTTTTTTTGTGGGGGGAGAATTGTGTTTCCCAATGAGGTTATTTACAAATTTTTTTCTCTCTTTGGGCATTTGAGTTATATTTAGGCTGAATGTTTATACTGCTTTTGTTGTGTGTGTAGTTGCTGAGTGTGCAGGGCACTGAGGTTGCAGCCATTGCAGGAGGAATGGCTGATGCAGAAGCTCTGGTCTCTCTGAAGGATCTCCTCAACAGACGAGGTGCAGAAAATCTCTGCACTGAGGAGGTTTTCCCTTTGGCAGGAGCCGGGTAAGTGGGACATGGCCCTGATTCACCAAACACATTCTCCTCAATGGCTACACACTTGGCATGGGAATAATATCAGTAAGCATCTGTCACAGGGCAAAATATGAGAAAAAGATAACACAATAAGCCAACACCAACAACCAGTTTTAAAATTAAATCTGTAATGTGCAGGGATTTTTATCCACTTTATTTAGTTGTGTATATGAAGTGTTTATTTCTCTGCAGCACTGATCTGCGCTCTAACTACCTGTTAAATTCTGGTATTGCTGGAATTGAGGAATGTGATCTGCTGTTGCTCATTGGAACCAACCCACGTTATGAAGCTCCACTGTTTAACGCCCGAATCCGCAAGAGGTAAACTCCCATTCCCCGATTACTACTTGTTCTTTTTCTATTCCACAACATCTATTTAAGAAAACATAAAAGTAGAGATATAGAAACACCCTGTAATATACCATATAACAGTGTGTTAACAGGATGGACGGTTGATATTTACTAGGGATGCATCGTGACTTTGTTACAAATTGATACAAATGAGTGCTAATTCGCATTAGTTGACATAAAAAATGAATCACGCATCAAGTCATAAGGAGCAGGCTGGGTTATCACAAAAAGGCATTGGTCCTACCATGACACTACACACTCTAGTACAGTAGGTGGGGGTATGCGCCTCATTGGTTGTGACCCGCTATCAATCCAAGACATGTATTACTTGATGACACGTGATGACAGGAACTCTTTCCAGTTCATATTTTTTAAATATTCTTTTGTGGTTGAATATATTGACAGTTAGTGAGGTAAATCAGACCAGATCAGTTTGACTTTTAATAAGAGGAGATTAATGGGCATGTGCAGTGTTTCTGTAAAGAAATGTGCATTTTAATATTCTGTTATTTAAGATATACTTTAGTTAATCAGGTGCACAATACCATTTCAATCAGCAGTGGTATTTTTGCAAAGTTCTTACAAATAAAGGATCATTGTATTCAATTTGTCTGGAGCTAATATTGTTAAACAAAAAAAATGTGAATCATATCGAATCATGAGCTAAGTGTTTTGTTACATCCCTTATGTTTGCAGTGGCATAACGCATGATTTCTTGTTTTGTCTTGTCAGCTGGCTTCACAATGAGCTGCGTATTGCCATGGTTGGTCACAGCGTTGATCTGAGCTACACCTACGACCACCTGGGAGAGGACACGTCAGTACTTCAGGAACTGGCTAACAACACACACCCTTTCTGCCAGGTAATGGACACACATACACTTTAAGTTATATTTTTTTATAAAAAGCTCAAAGTTTTACATTTATTCTTCTTATCTCCAGGTCCTTTCTGCTGCCAAGCGACCCATTGTAGTTGTGGGCAGCAGCGCTTTGCAGAGAGAAGATGGAGCTGCTATTTTAAGTGCTGTTTCTACCATTGCTCAGAACGTCAGAACCAGCAACAGCGGAAACGAGCAGTGGAAAGTCCTCAACGTCCTGCACAGGTAGATTCTGGTGAAAAATATTTGAATTTGATGAAATCGTTTTTGTGTTAGATAGCGGGTCATAAATGTGTGCCTGTGATCTGACTGACAGACTTGATGGACTGCACCTGACCATTTATTCCAGTTAGGGTTAGTTTCCTTTCTGGCCAGTCACAAATCTCTAATTGAATCAATAACCCAAAGATATAAATATTAAAAGAGAAATGGTGACATTTAAACTCCTTAAACTCCAATAATTGCCAGTTTAAGGAGTGTATGCCTTTAAATAAGGGAAGCTCTTTGCTGTTGAAAAATAAATACATATACATGCCAGACTTGATATTTTGAGGGAGTGAAATTTCAGTAAGCCAGATTAACTTTTAGGGCTTATAAACCCTGATAACTGTAGTTCACCTGTAATTGTGTGTACAAATGTGTGTCTTTTTCTTTATAGAGTGGCAAGTCAAGTAGCTGCTTTGGATCTGGGTTATAAGGCCGGTGTGGATGCCATCAGAAAAAATCCCCCGAAAGTTTTGTTCCTGCTCGGAGCAGACGCTGACTGCATCACCAGAGCTGACCTGCCCAAACACAGTTTAATCATCTATCAGGGTACACACACCTGAATGTACACAGTCTGTGTATTACTTTAACCTTTCAGAAGAGACTTTATTGATATTTACAGTATTGATACTCGACCTGTGTAGGTCATCACGGTGACGTCGGAGCAACTATGGCAGACGTCATTCTGCCTGGCGCAGCATACACAGAGAAAAATGCCACATATGTGAACACTGAAGGAAGGAGCCAGCATACCCGTGTGGCTGTGACTCCTCCTGGATTGGCCAGAGAAGACTGGAAGATAATCCGAGCTATTTCTGAAGTATTTCCCCCATCAAGCACAAACCCAACTATCTTTATCATTGTCTGTTTAGGATCTGTTTGACGGTAGAAACTTGTCATGTGTTTTGCACAGCTGGCTGATGCAACGCTGCCCTACGACACATTGGATGAGGTGCGGTCACGGCTAGCTGAAGTTTCTCCTAATTTGATTCGTTATGAGGATATGGAGGAGGCCAACTACTTCAAACAGGCAAACGAGCTGGCCAAGGTAACAAACACTAGACTTTCCAGATGTTCAACCTAAAAACATGCTTATCAAGAAGTTCTGGCATTTTATGTCACGTGTTGCACGTGAAATTCCTGAAGAGAACGGCCATCTCCAAACTTTTAAAGGTACACGACAAAAACAGTAATGATTCTCAAAACGTGGCTTTTGCATGTGTGGGAAGTCAGAAAAGGCATGTTTTTTGACAAATGAAAAGGTATTGCCATTTTAGGTTAAGACTCACTGAGGACAGGGAAGTTAATATGTAACTGTCAAGCTGACTGACACTATTATCATGAATTGCGAGGTGTACACAGTAATGAATAAAATCCACTTTGGTGTACTTACATTTATACATTTTGAAGAGAAAGCTGTTAAAACAGGGCAGACTGCTCAGTCATTTTAACATGGAGTCACTGATCTGCTTTATCAGGCGGTGAAACAGGACCTCCTGGCAGCCCCTCTGGTACCTCCACAGCTTGAACTAAAAGACTTCTTCATGACAGGTACGTGTGGCATTTTTTAGTAAATGCCTATATGGAGGTTATAATACACACAGGATGTAATTGTAATACTTGGCTGCATCTCTGCTCTCAGACTCTATCAGCAGAGCCTCACAGACGATGGCCAAATGTGTCAAAGCGGTCACAGAAGGAGCTGCCGCCGTGGACGAGCCATCAGTTTGCTAAACATCCAGGTTCTACCTTGTACAAATAAACTTCTGTGATTTAAAGAGAAAATTGAAATAGCTTGGTGTTGTATGTTAAACTTTAATTATTTCCCCTCATGTGATCTGTTGATCATTAAAGAGTATGACAAAAAAATGTCAAAAGTGTTTGTCTGCATTTTTCCATATGAATAGGTTTGGTCCGTAAGTGGCCCTGTAAAATATTTATTTTGAAAATTGCTGCCTCATGATACAGATAATTACTGTCCCATTTAGTAATGGCATACCACAAATTAGCATAGCAAATATGCTTATGCTTAATATACAACAAATGCATGGTTAGACAATCAATTGAATCCAATGTGAATTTCCGTGGAGGAATGAAGGCTACCATCGTCAACATCAACGTGTACCGTATGTTGAAATCAACCACGATAATGACTTTATCTAAGGTGATCACTAATTCAGATAAAAAGTCAGAGAATTTGGACAGAAACTCTAAATAAGTGTTAGGTGGATGGTAAATGCTCTACTGTTTCTTCTGTTTCTTCCAGCCAGGATAGAGTACTCTAAGAATTAGGCTTTCAGAGGAGTGACAGTCTAGTCTAGTCTAGGTTTCAAACTGATTAGTAAATTAGAATTAAAATTGGCTGCAAATCTTCTTCCTCGGCATGTGCTGCAGGGAAAGTGAGGATTAGTATGAGTTGGAGGGGTTCATTTAAACGGACACTGACGTTCATCTTGATTCAGTTAGGAAAATAAATCAATGTGAAGGTCAGTGATTATGAGATTTTGAGGACAGTGGTCTTTAGTAGTGGACCGTTTTCTTTTTTCCATTTTGATTATTTTCAGGTTTTGTGTATATCTGTATTAGAGTAGAATGACTGATATCTTGTTTATTGTTGGTGTAACTCGGGTGGGCTGAGACTGGATATTAACATTTTCACTGTATATTCTTTAAGCAACTGTGTGTCCTGGTCTCATTGAGTTTTGCTGTGTTGTATCTAGTCCACATTTCCATGACTGTGTTCTCATAGTCTGCCAAACTAGTTAAAGAGGTTATAATGTTTTCATAAATCCAGATTACAAACGCCAAAAAACACAGAAGACGTTACGAATTTGCTGCATTTTGATTTAAACATCCGTGGTTGCTTTGATAATTGTATTAATTCTAATAAACGGGTGTTGCTAATGTTTGTGTTAGTTGGCCTTTTGGTGTTAAAGTGAACTGTATTTGCATAGCGATGTATAGATTTTAATATTAATGTTATCCTCGCCTAAATACAAGTGATTTAACGCAGGTGGGCGGAGTTCTGTTTAAATATTCATAGTGACCCCGGTGACAGCCAGTAGGGGGGAGGCGAGGGGCGGGGGCAGGCGGATGGAAAGAGAGCAGCTGGAGTTAATCGTCCTCGTTGTGTGAGCATTAAGAGAAGCTGCTTTTCAAATAACTTGTTTTGATTTTTTTTTTTTTTTTTTTAAATTATCATCCATGTACTGAACGTGACTTTAGACTGCCATGATGGAGTCTATCTGGGAAAGTCTGAAAGCTGAGAAAGTCTCCCCGTCAAGGCGAACAAACCTGTTGGACCTGGAGGAGCTCAGCGACGAAGATTTCCTTGCAGATGTGGTCAGTCCTCATGGCGTTTACGTTCAATATTCTTACTTTCCTACAGTCTTCCTTCATTATCCATAGTCAATGACAGTGCCGCGTAGACACAGTGACGTTGCTCGTTTGCATGACGTCAGCTGCTGTTTGAAATCCTTTAAATTACACGCACTTTCGTTCCGTTCCGCTCGGAGCCGTGACGTGTGTGTTGTCAGTATTTGTATTTTAATTGTTTGTATTTGACATTTTGTCCGGACCAGTAGACGTCATGGAGAGACACGGTAGTCCTGACAACAGACAGAACCTTAAACCTTATTCAGTGACATTAAGAACTAACAGGTCGGTCCACGTACTGCGGACACGCAAGCGACGAGGCCTAAGGATATAAAAGGAGCGAGGAGTCTCTGGTCATTCCCAGTGATGGCGCTTAGTGACGGCTTTATTATGAGTTACAGAACAGTGGCCATAACTTATAGAACCGCAGCTGGAGATATGAATCCACGTCAGCTTCAGCCCCTTCGCTGAAATTGACGACAGTAACCACACAATTATGGGAGTACTGTATGTATGAGAGTACATGTTGCTTCACGTATTCTGTTGTGAATAGATGCATTTTTGAGTTTTTTTATTTAAACTCATTAGAACCTTGTAGAAACCCCCCAAAAATGTTATTTTATTTGAATTTTATAAAAGAAAGAATAATTAACTTTATTGATGATGGTACATAAACAGCTATAAAATATGTGATGTGTATTTAGCCCAGGGATGTTTTCAGGATTACAGTAGATACTATACGTATTTACCATTCACATACATATAATAAACCTGTTTGTCATTACAGTTCATTAACAATCAATAAAAAATAGCACCATGTTTTGCTATAATTAATTATTAATATTAATTATTACATTTGATATCAGAAGAATGGTTTCTTCCTTAACTGTTGAACTTTTCTTTAATTATCCTTTTAAAAATCCTTGGGCTTGCAGCTTTTAGAAATCTGTATAGTTATATGTTTCTAAATTCACACGTACAACAAACCAATGGGTTTCTTCAAACTAATGGCTAGATATGAGGTAGTAACATAGCCTGGTGCAAAGTTTAGAGTGCATTATGCCTTTTTGTGTAAGTCATCCAGGTTAAACATCTTCAAGAAACCGACGCAGTCCACTTGCCCTCTACTTAACTGCTTTAGATACTGTGTAATTCATCTTGATTTCACTTAATAAATAACTTTTGTATTTGTCATAGTTGAGTTAACAACTTGTGAATTTAAAAATCAGATTGTTTATACATTGCAGATGGTTGGAAAGAGTCACAGGTCCTGCAGCATGGTCAACGGTCTGCTTGGAATTATGAAGAAGTGCAGCCTTGCTTAAATTCCATGGTGTTCGGCATTTGGCACAGCGGTGTTCTGAGCTGAAGCAATGGTGTAGACTTGGTTACTTTGTAAGGAAACTGGTGAGTCAAATGTTGGTGGGGAGTTTTACTCCTTACTTGCTTTTCAAAACACTAAGTGATGATTGGTGGAAGTCATTAAGGTTGCTGGTACTGTTTTTTTTGGAACCCAGCCAACTGATTGGGGCACAATCAGTGCCCATATTAATCGAAGAGAGTGGGCATCTGAATGTGGTCTGTGCATATGCACTGAGTTGGATGTGATTTAGAAGGAAAAGATGGAAGAAGTATAAGGTTATAAGTGAAGAGAGAACACAGGTGATGGGGAGCTGCTGGTTTGATATGGTGTTAGAGACAAGAATGCATAAGGACAGGTGTTTGTAGACTCTGCAAAAACAGAAATGTGACATGACAGAAATGACTGTTATTAATACTTATTTTAGATACTTTTGCTTTAAAAATGACTTTGATTTTAATTTATTTGACTTACTGTGCCCCACATGCAATGGCCCCAGTGGGGGCTGCTCTCCACTATGGGAACCACTGGTGTAGGGTAAAGGTAAAACAAGGAAGAGAAAGCAGCTGATTGTGGTGAGCAGTAAAACCATTGAAGACAAAGTGTTGCCCATGTTGGAGAAAGCAGTGGTCATGGTGGCTGAAAGACAGAACCGGAGGTTCCATACGGTTCTGACGTATTTCTAGCCAGTTCTTGTTCTGTTCTCTCTCCTACTTATTTTGTCTGTTCCTTGGCCTATACGAATTGTAACAGTAGTTCCTTGTCTGAGAAAAAATGAAAACATCGTATAAGCAAAACAAAGCGTATTTACATATATATCCATAAAACAACTATATAAATATATATATCCATAAAACAACTATTATAAATCAATGATGATGTGCATTGTTGTAGTAACTGCAGAGGCATGAAGTTGAATTAGCTGTGCAATGAAGGCATAAGAGCTTCTGAAGTTGAAGATGTTCCAGATCCGTAAGCAGCAGTTTGGTTTTATACCCAGGAAAGGTACTACAATAGTTGCAGGGAGTCTAGTGAGGAACTTGCTGTAGGTACCATGTGAGGAAGTCAGGAGTGGTAGAAAAGTAGTGCTGACATCTGTTAGGCCAGGGAGATGTGAAATATGGCTCCCAGGTTTCATCAGGTCTGAACCCCTTTTGTTTGCTGTGGTGATGGACAGCTTGACAGATGAGAGCAGTCATAAGGTGCCATGGATCATGATGTTTGCAGATGCCATTGTCTTCTGTGCTGAGAGTAGGGAGCAGGTGGGAACGAAAACTTGGAGAGGTGGAGGACTGCTTTGCAGCACAGAAGAGTGAATCTGAGTCAGCGAGAGGTGGACGGAATACTAGGGGTGTGACGCTATCTAAACAGCTAAATAAAAAGATGATGAAAAAGAGATGGAAATCTTAGGAAGGGACGAATGGAGAAAAGATCCAGTCAGACTGAATCACATTGCGAGGGTAGGCTGATTACTTCAGAAGCAGAAGCATTTTAATGTTTATACTTTTTTGTTTTAGTTTAAATTTGTAAGGAATTTGGAGAGAAGCCCAGCAAATAAAAGCTGCAGTAAAAAAGTTGTAAAGCTTTTCAAAATTCACCTGAACTGTTTTGGGACTCAATAATTCAATTAGAAAAAAGCATGTCATTGCATTTAAAAAAGGTAGTATTACAATAGCATCTCTTTTGGGCTGTCGGAGGAAACTAGAGTACATGGAGAAAATCCTTACACACATGACCAGCAAAGCTAGCACGTGGTAGCATAGTGGTTAGCACTCTTGGAATTATGGTTAGCGGTTTAAAATTGGGATAAAAGTAATGTTAGTTCTTCTTTTCTTCTTGTTTGTGAGACTCTTTTTCCCACTGTTTGAAAGCATGAGTATTGGGAACTAGGTGAACATTTTGAAACATTACATATGAGTAGGGTTGGCCCTTTGTTTCTAAATGTGGTCCTGCAATCGATGAGTGAACTTGTTTACCGGGGTAGGACTAAAATATAGTTATCTTCTCCACTGTTGTGGCTGCTTCCACTGATCTTGTCCACAGCACGAAGTGAATACAAAATATGAAATTTACCTTTGAATGAACACTGTTCTTCGATAGCAACATGCTTCCTCTTTCAGCCAATAATACAACATGAACGTAGGTTTGTTTTTGTTTTATTGTGTGCATCCTGTGAATTGCAACCACATCCCTAATGGTGCCTCCTGTGGCAGCCTCCCCATTGTTGGATGAATAAGGGACTCAATTATTATTTGTTATTATTATTGTTGCTTTTATTTCTGTTGTTCTAATTGTTGAACTAAATATGACTGTAATAAGTGATGGGTAGAAATGTGTAAAGCAGGGTGACAGGTGAAACTGACAGCTGCTGTACATCAGTGGTACTGAGAAATACGAAGAGCTACGTCATTGACACACACTTGAAAAATGTAATAATGATTTGAAATTATTGCTGCTCTGTTGGGATCTGTACGGTACACAGAAGGAGACACTCTTCTCACCGTGGTAACTGAACCCACGTGAACATCACTGAAAGTGTAACTCATTCAAAAAATCTAGTCCTGTCGACTAGATTTACTTTTAGAAAATACTCCACGGATGAATCAGTTGGTGTACTTTGAATACTTAGTCCTATTCTATTCTATTTTCTATTCTTTTCGATTCTATGCTCCATTCAAACCCTGTACTCCAGCTCTTTCAGAGTCACAGACTTCTCATTTTATGGTTGTAGCTGATTGGCTGCCGAGCGGCAGAAGAAATGTGGGCAGGCATGCAACTCTGTACTTGTGTATCGGCATGTGTGCGTGTGTTTTGTGTAGGCACTTGGATTTGTGTGTATATGCATGTGTGAAAGAGATAAAAAGTCTGAGCACTCTTATGTGTTTTTTTAAGAACTCCTGCTCTGTTCTCCTCTGTACCAAAACACAGGCACAATCAAGAGAACACACAAACCAACACACAGTCATGAGGCCAAACAACAGCCAATCCAACTGCAGCAACACATATAATATAGAACATAGAATAATGGCCTTTTCTTTTTTTTCAGTGATTCTTAACCTGAGGGAAGTGGTCCAAAATTGGGCTGCCAGCGCCACCTAGAGGGCCACAAAAACTTTCAGTTTTGCAGGGCCTGCATAGGTTATCAGCTGAAGACACTAATAAGGCTGTGGTTTAATTTGCAGATTCTTTCTGTTGTATTAACAGTTAATTTAAATCACATTTATATATTTGAATGATACATTCTGTCCTAGGTGTGATGCCATCAGGGCCTGCAGCCTTTCACTGATGTAGTCTTTCAGCTGCCTTTTTACATGGCACCGGCCGGTCACCTTTGGGCAAGGGTTGATGCAGATGACTTCAGTGGAGGAGGGGGGCTAACAGTTGGAGAGGTGCTGTACAGCAGAGTGCTGGGGGGTCGGGTTGAGCCATCAGTGACAGCCTGGATGTGTGAGGGAATGGGGGAGACAAAGGCGGTGGCAGGAGGTGAGCTGCAACTGTTGTAGAAGTTGTCATACTGGTTAGCAGTATCCAGGCTACCTGTTGCTGGTAAGTATAGCTTTTGGCCACTGGGGGGCATTGGTCAGAATGCAGAGGAATCCACGTAGTGCACAGAAGTGTGCATAATAGATAGATAGATAGATAGATAGCACTATAAATAGCAATGGGAAATTTAGGAATGATGAAGAAATGAGTGTGTACAAACATTCCCACACAAAGAATGGAATTTTTCAACCTGTACTTTTGCTTAGAAACTTGTCAATTTAAGCACAGCTTTAATGGAACTGTAAGGCTGTATATCTATAAGTGGAACAAATAATTGCTTCAATCCTGGTGTAAAGGCAAGCACTAGAATGCTTGCCTTTACAGCAAGAACATCACTGGTTTATAAGTTTGATCACCAGTTTGTATTTCTGTATTGAGGTTGCATGTTTTCCTTGTATATGTGTGGGATCTCTTCCACTGCTCATCAACATGTCCAGTATTGGATTAGGGTGATTGGACAGTCCATTTGTTTGTAGGTAAAAAAATGTGAGTGAGAATTGTTGTTTGTCTTTTTATGTAGCCTGTGATAGGCTGCCCAGGATGTTCCTTGGCCTTGGCCAGCAGAGGTGAGGCAGGGGATACAGAAAGGATGGGATGGAAGGAAGGTTGAGAATGGTGGCTATATACTACATACATATACATACATACATACATACATACATACATACATACATACATACATACATACATACATACATACATACATACATACATACATACATACATACATACATACATACATACATACATACATACATACATACATACATACATACATACATACATACATACATACATACATACATACATACATATATACACACATGTATGTATATATATATATATATATATTTATATATATATATATATATATTATATATATATATATATATTTTTTTTTATATATATATATAGATATTATATATATAGATATTAATTTTTACTTGATTTGGTTTGAGATAGCTAAACCAGAGACAGTTTGTATTTCTTAAAACCCAATGATTTTCATAAACATTTCAAGTCAAGTAAAAGTTTTTAAAAAGTTTTTGTTACTGTAGCCATAAATTTAAGAAATAACAACCACCATATAACACAATCAATGTCTTGTCCTCTTGTGTTTCAGCCTTTCGGCGGTGACCAGTTGGAAGACATCAGCAGTGAACTGTTCAGCAGTTTCTTTGATGATCATCTATTAGAGCGACCCCTGCTGGCAGTCAGACCTCCACTCTTACACATGGACATTGACAGCAGTTCAGGTGAGCCTCCTGACCTATTGATTACTGGGACTGGCCAGAGAGGCTTGTCAGCTGAGTAAAACTAATGTCTCATAATCTAGTTTCAACTGAGCTCTTGTGTGATTGGTGTATTTGCCATGTATTCAACTGAGTCCTGAATCGTCTATGTGAGTTGCTGATATCTTTTATATATATCTTTTTTGCTTTGCAGAGGCTTGGTGGTTAGCCCCACAGCAAGGTGCATTTATTCGAGGCCTGTTGTTGAACCCGACTTAATGCCTTGCTCAATGTGCTTTTTTACAAAATGCTCAAACTCAACAAATGAGGTAGTCGTGTACTACAATATCAGGTTGAGCAATTTAAAGCGTATTTGACAGGTGGCCTCCTTAAAGTGGCTAACACTGGGCTATTTTCCATTGTCACCACTGACAGCTGGACTTTCAGTGAGCGTACATGTCAATGTCTTAGTTTGTCAGTCACACTTAAAAATCTGACCTATCCAGTTTCTATAACGTTTTTAACTAGATATGAATGACATAAAACTGTTGTTGTGTGGTATTGTTTGAAAAAGAAGGTTTTTGACTCTAACAGATATTCAAGCAGAGCACAGCTACTCCCAGAGTGAAGAGTCCGCCCCCCAGAGTCCTGCACTGTCAACTCACATGAACCAGGAGTCTGGTAGGTCGTACGTTCTGCTCGGACATCTTAGTTTATGTCTGCTGGGGGAAAAAGCTTTGCAATGCTATTGTTGAACAAGTAAGCAAGTAATCTGCTGTTACCGAGTTTTACTAGCATGACAATTTGGATTAATGTGTACAACTGTGCCTGGAAGACCAGTGCACCACAGGAAAATCATTTTCCAACTTTGCTTTGGTTGTCTCTGTCTGCTGCAACATTTCTCTCTGTGACTCATCTCATCCGTTACGCCCGTTGTCCTTCTCTAGCTCTTTGTCGTAACCGGCCTTTCTCACTTTGGTTAAATGTCTGTGTGCACACCTTCTCCGTTTGTCCCAGGGATCCCA